GAAGTTTAAATAGATATTTAAGCTTTTTTTAACTTCGTAAGAGATTGTAAAAATATATAATTTGATCAATCAATGTCAAAAAACAAGGTTCAAATCCTTGAATTTCAAAAATGTGCTTAATTGATTAAAACGATTTTTTAGAGATTTTTTTTTGTTATTAAAAACACTTCATTAATCAATAACCTGCGAAAAACTTCGAAAAAATATGTTTCTAAAGCTTTTGATGTTCTCAACTTTTATATTGAATGTTCTATGCTTGAGATTCAATATATTGTGACTTTAGCCAAATGTATTTTAGAGAATAAATTGTTGTCCAGCCGTGACAAGATTTACTTATCAAAATTTCAATAGTTCTTAAAGAGTTTGAATCTCAAGGTCGCAAATAGTTAAGTGCATGTAGAAACGGTCTAAATTTTTATCTTTTTTGCCTTGAAATCCCCTAAAATAATCACCTTTTTTGCTATTTCCACGACTGTTATTCCATTTCATCCACCACATCAACTCAGTTCGTTGATTGTACATCATCAACGGATAAGCAACAAAAAAAAAGTCGTGAGATCATGAAAATTGCATTAAAATTTCATCTACAAAATGTGAAATAATGCATTTGGACACGAACGAAAGCGCAAAAAGCTGTGAAGCATCAACTGAATTATTTAAGCATTGCTGTACAATTTTTGTTATTTTCTCGTTCTCTATTTTTTTAAAGCGATTTTTCCTTTTACTTTTTTATTACTCTTGAATATTAAATTATATGCAAAAATATATATTTGTTTTTGTTATTTCTCACGAGCTTAATTGTTAAGTATATTTTCATCTTTTTATATATTTTTTACTTTAAAAAGCTTTTTTTTTTTTTTGATGATTTACACTTATTTCAGTCATCACGTTCGTCTATGTTGTTGAGATGCAAAGCTTTCCATTGAGTCTGAATGTTAGCGACTATATATGCTTCTCAACATCACAGAGTTACCGGTATGAATGAAAAAAGCTTTTCATCAAAGCTATTTTTTGATTTTAAAAAAAAAAATTAAAAGCGAGGATTTTTTTAAAGTATTTTTATAATAGTTCGGTACACTTCACACCGTTGGGAGTGTAAGGGTGGTAATTAAAATTCAAAGAAAAGGTTTGGGGTTGGGAGATTATAAAAAATTTAAAAGGTTTGCCAGAAAGTAGTTAAAAATTCACATTTTTTATGAGCAATGATGAATGAACGTCAAGTGGTTGTTGAATTTTTGTTATTTCCATTTTTTTATTGCACGAAAGAAAAACTTTTTTAAAAAGCAACACGTTTTTCACCTTAAAATAATCGGGCAGCAAGTGTCGATAAAATCACACAAATGAAATTTCATCATCAATTATGACTGGTTTTATACAAATTGCTGTAGGAAAATGCATAATAATTTTTTAATAAATTTTATTTATACATTTTTTTATCTTCATTTATAATTTATACACAAGCACAGTACGCATAATTTTTTTATTTATTTAATTTTTTTCCTTTTACGTTTTTTTGGACGGAAATGTGAAAACAAATTTGACAAAATAAGCTTAAAAAATTCTCATTTTCATTAATTGGTTATTTTTTATATTTTTATTTTTCCTAGTCTGAACGGCTAAAAGATTTTTTAAGGTTAGAAAAGCTAAATATGAAAAATCATTTTTTTTGCTAGATTTGCGGCTAAGATGATGCAATGAGGATTTTATAATTGCTAAAAAAGTTTATTTCAATTAATTAAAAACTTTTGAATGATTTTGACACCTGTGAGCTTTTCAAAAAGTTTGATTAATTTTCTAATTGAATCTTCCACTTTCTTTTATTTAATCTTGAATATTCAAGCATCCCCTTCCTTTTCATGTCATTTAAAAATCAACTTTTCATAATTATTAAAAGCTTAAGAAATTAAGTTCTCAAAAAAATCTTTAATTTTAAAATTAAAACTTTCTCACAACAAACTTGTGTCATTCAAAACGTGACAACTTTTTATAAACAAGCTTCAATATCCACTCTACATAACTCACGTAAAAAATTCTTATTCTTCTTGAATTTTAATCTCAACTTTCTTCATTAAAAAAATCCTTCTTTTTCCAACTTTAATTAAGCTTTTTTTGTCTCGAGAACTTTTTTTCTTTTTTTTTGAGGATAATAATAAAGAAGGGGAATTTCAAGAATATAAAAAAAAAATTGCAACACATTTTCACCAACTTAGTTTTTTCTCATTGCATCAGAATTAAAAATTGTTCTTTTTTGGATGGTTTTATTTTTTTTTTCGGGCTAGAGAGGTCAAATTTGGGAATTTTGGCATAAGTTTTAAACTTGAGTTATTAAGTTTTGGTGTCAAGTAAGGACATTAATTTTCCTTACTAATTTTAATAAAATTGTCACTTAAAAGTCTTGAAATAAATTTTAAAAAAATCAGAAGTTTCTTGCTAAAAACCATAAAAGTACACCTTTTTGAACCTGCCATACCCAGAAAAAAAATCTTAATAAAACCCTCTCCGAAGAACTTCCACTTTATGAATTTTTAACAAAAAACTTGAATCAAAAATTAATTTATTTAAAAAATTGCACTTTTAAAGCACGAAAAAAAGCAGCAGCAAAAAAAATTTCTCTCAACTTAAAAAGTTTCTTCATTTTTTTTTCTTTATAAATTTACTTTCTAGAATTGTCTTACATTTTTTTACTCGTGTTATTTTTTAGTATTATTACTTTATTCTTATTATATCTTCATTATATTTATTATTATATATAAAGAGTAACAATCACAATATTAACGTTAAGCTTCTCGATTTAATTTCTTATTTTTTTTTTCATGTTGATGTTGTTGTCATTTTCTACAATTTTATTTTTTTTCATGCTTCTCACAATGAAAAGGAAAATAAAAGGAGGCGAGAGAAAAAAGATGGAAAATGAAAAGAGAAATTAATCCTTAGAATCCCTTCTTACTTTTTTCTTTCAATCTTTGCCCTTGTTTTCCTTCATTTCGCTAATTAATTTCTTCTTATTTTTCGCTCAATTCTCGACCGGTTTTTGTTGGATTTTTTGTCGTCCTTGTGAGGATTTTTGGTTTGATTTTATTGAAATTGAATTTTGAATAGTCCAGAATTATTATAGTGAAAAATCTTAAGTATTGATTATTGTTCAAATTGTTTAATTGGTCTAAGTGGTATTGAATTAACTCTACCAACCACAAGAGACATGGTTCGATTCCCCATATCAGTCCAAATTAATATGTTAAATCTTTTGATAATAAATCTAGTCTCTTAAGCTATTATTGAACGTTTGTCAAAAATCTAGTACAATGAAATGTCTTAATAGTGCCAAATCTTTTGTAACAAGCAATCATAAATTCGAAGTCTGTCAATAATCTTGATAATCTTTAATGAATGGTTTTGCAAGTCATTAATCTGATTATGAATTGATCATATAATCTGAATCGCAAGTTTGATTCCGATTAAATACAATCAGTCCAGCAATTTTTAAGAGAGGAAGAGGGTCTGAGATTTTTTTGGCAGTTCAAATCAAAGAAATTTTTCTTCATACAAATTTTGTGACAAGAGGGGGTCCAAAAAGTAGTTTTTCGCATTAAGTACAAAGCTCCCTCACAAGGATCAACTAAATCTCCACAAAACGCTATCTTAAAGTTCAATTGAGCCAAAGAAGAAAGAAAATGAAGAAATTAAATCCATTCATGAGACAGAAAAGAAGTAAAATAGGACACGAAAAAAGGGGGAAAAATTAAGAAAAAAAAATTCTTACACAAAAATTTTTGCACAAATTTTGTTCCATCCTCCTTTAACATTTAATTTCATTATCATTTTCATTTTTGTGTGTAATGATAATGACATAAACGAGTTTTATATCCTCTCTAAAGTGACTTTTGGGGGGAGGTGGTTCAAGTTAAAAAAAAGTAGAACAATAAAAATTCTTTCTACGACAATTAAATTAAGAAGGAATTTTATTTCATTATGAATCGTGTTTTTGTGTGCATTTAGGGAGGGAATTAAAAAAAATTCTAATTTTTTTTTTCATGTTTGGCCACATTCAATTTGGCAGATTCTTCGCAATTTACATAATTACTATCTCATAGAACAGTTAGTAGCATTATTTTCACAATTTTCAATTTATTTTTTTTTTTATTAAAAAAGCATGATTTTTTTTCCTACAAAATACAACAATATGTCTTGTTACTTGCAAGCACAAGAAAACTCCATCATCGTTCATTTCCGGTACGTAAAAACTACTTATAACATTATTTTTGTGATTTTTATCTTTACACGCGCGTTTCTTTTCTCCCGAACAAAAAAAAAGTTGTTGCTGTTGTTATTGTCTTCGGGAAGATGTGAAGGAAAACTATTATCGTAGAATAGAAACAATCTTTATATATATTTTTTTTTTATTTCAGATGGTGTCGGGTGCGGATGCCACACATACACAAAAAATACAAGTTTTTTTTGCAGAGACGTGAACAGCAAAAAAGAAAATTGCTCGAGCGGAGGGATTGGAAGGTGTTTTTTTGATGGGTCCTGTGTTAAACTAAACGAAAAACTTTCTTACTGCTTATTTTTTTTTTGTTCATAGTTATACAATATTCGTGCGATTGAAGGTAAAGAATGCTTATGCATGGCGGTGTATATTCATGAGTCACGTTCAATGATGTGCTTTTTTTCGGAATGTTTATATTCAATACATAACATTTTTACCTTTTTTTGTTGCCACCTCATGCTGCTTACTTTTTTGTTGCTTTAAAGAAAATTTTCTTTATTATTGTTGTTGTTGCTGCTGCTGTTGCTTATTGTTGATGAAGAAATTTTCATTGGAATAATATTTTCAAAAATGATGAAGAAAATGTTGAAGATTTTTCTTTATTTAATCATGTCTGTGTGTGTATCCATTTTAATGAAATACTTTGCTTGCTGTTTCTTTTCATTCATTTTACGGGCGCTTCTTTTCATCATTAAAAATTTATTTTATATTATCTTAGTTTGCTTATGGGTATTTAATAACGCTGTTGATACTCGTGATGCCATCGATTGAAGTCAATGTGAAATACTATAATTGAGCCAGTCGCTAGTCCAGCAAGTAGGTATCTGAGGAAGATGGAAATGAATTTATTAGAATTTAATCATTAAATTTTCTGCAGAAGATTCGATGGAAAATTGAAACTTGATGCTTGGTTGTAGTTTTCTGTCAAAAGATACTTAAGATTCAAAAAGACTTGAACTCAATGTGATCTATTGAAAACCTTGAGCTTATATTAGGTCACCGAGAAAGATCAAAAATCCATTTGCCAAATGCAATTTAACAATCTCAAAATTTAAATTTCAACATTTTGCAAAATAGCTAATCAAATTAAATCTAGAACTAAATGAATTTTATTAAAGACACAGGATACAGGATACAGGATACAGGTCGGAAATACCAATAATCCCTCAAGCTGCAACCCCTTATTCAAACAAACGACAGAACAAATTTTTGCAAATCCATCTCATCAATATCCCCTTTAGCATCTTCAATAGCGCAGAAAATTTCAATATTCAATCTACAGCACATAATAATGAAAAAGAAATACTTACTTTTGATCATGTGTCAGTGATAGCGAACGTATACCACTATTGCACACAGGAAACGCATACAATGGAGCTAAATTAAATGTACGCCATACTTCAACAATTCCTTTATCGCCTGCAGTCATCAGATATTCTCCGTCACGAGATAGCAACATGCACTATAGATGGATAGAGATGATGATGAAGAAAATTCAATAAAAAATTGCATTGCTGTACATGCTTCATTTCATTTTCAATTTTCAATTTTAAATATATATATATATATAAAATATCTATATCCATTTCTACATCATTGCTTATTGCCATTTTATCTTTATTGCAATGGATGATCCAACGAATTGATAAAATTGAAAAATGGAATTAAATTTCATACCTGAATGTTATCGTTATGTGACTCATGACGCAGGAGACGACCATTGATTGTGAAAGCCGCAACATTACCCTCATCATAATTGACAACGATGAAGCCCTCGCGAGACATTGTTATATTTTCTGGCGATAGAAATTCATCTGGTGGATCAAGTGAACGCAACAAGTCGCCGAATGTCGTGTGGACTAATACTGGACCGTCTGAATTATTTATTAAGAGGTGAGGAATGAAAATAGAAAATTAATTTTAAATTAGGGATGATGAAATTGTGGAAAATTTTAATGAAATATTTAATTCAATAACTTAAAATCAAACTTTAACCCTCGAGAATTAAGATTTTAATTTCGAAAATTAAAATTTTCACTTTCGAAATTTAAATTTTCACTTTCGAAATTAAAATGTTCACTTTCGAAATTAAAATGTTCAATTTCGAAATTAAAATTTTCACTTTCGAAATTAAAATTTTAACTTTCGAAATTTAAATTTTCACTTTCGAAATTTAAATGTTCACTTTCGATATTAAAATTTTCATTTTTGAAAGTGAAATTTTTACTTTAGATACTAAAGCTTTAAACATAGCCTTGAATAAAAACCTCCTACTTATCTAAAACTAGCATCGAATACTTACTTATCGAGCCGGATACAACTAATCCAAGTTCAGCACTAATAACAACAGATGTCACAGCCTGTTCATGTCCTGTTAATGTAGCACGTGGCGTCGGAACTTCACCTTCACCGACAATACTTTGCGTTCGAGCATTCCAATGCCATAGTAAGATTGTACAATCAGCAGATCCTGAGGCGATATAACAATCGGACGTGATGTTACATTCAGAACGCGAGAGACACGTCACAACATCAAAATGTCCGAAGACAATTTGAACGATTTTAGCAGTTTCTGTCGAGAAGACACGAAAACTATTGTCCCAGAAACCGCATGCAACGAGGAATCTACTGTCGACTGTTGTCACATAGCAATTGGCGCGAATTTTAATTTTCTGACTAAAATTATCACCCAAATGTCGTTTTACAGCTGGATTATTGTGAGCAGTCGTTTGTGATAGCAATGGATCCATTGTTAATGGTAAATTTTGCGGTTGGTTGTGACTATTATCTGCATAACTAGGACTTTGTATATTTGCTGTATAATTACAATTCCAACGATTAACAGCAAATTGATGACCAGCTGTTACCGTTACCACAGATGGTAGAGGCAATTGAGGATAAGTATTTGCAGAAATATGAATTATAGGTGAATTTAAATGGAATTTTAATGACATGCAGACATCATCTGGCATTGTATTGAACATCATTGGCGATAGATGCATCGCTGAACTTCTGGGCGGATGTGGTTCCATTAAAAGCAACGATGGTGTTTGACCAAAATTACGAATTTGATTTTCTATTGCCTCACGCATCACTGGATCTGTGATTGTTTCTAAATCAACACTACCTTCATATGTTAAGTAATAAAAGACATTTGTAGCACGCATTGCTTCCGGTCCACGTTGTTTATATCCAAAGATTAAATCAATCCATTGATGTAATTGACATGATACAAATTCCGACTCTAATGCCATTCGATTTATTCGAACAAATTCTTCTGGTGTCTTTGCCCATGGCGGTAATTCAACATCCGATACTGTATTGCCATCGTCACGTGCGCCCAGTCGATATTCCGATTGGTTGTAAAACATTTCAGGTAGGAAGTACCATTCGGGAATGAGTTCTTTAACATCCGATGTATCACGTTGACTATTTTTCCATGAAAGTGAAACAGACGAGAAAATTCGGTCAGCATGATCAAATTTGCCGCCCTGAAGTGCCAAAAACATTGTTGTAAATGGTTCAAGTCGTATGAGCCAGTTGAGAGTGAATGCAGATGTTGAATAATGTGTTCCATAATGGAATGGTGGAATGCCAGGTGTATCCCAACTTTCATAACGTTCCTCAAAATATTCACGTCTACTCGGGTTCAATGCACCAATTGGCTTAGATAAATCACGATAATTTGACGGTTGACTGAGATCCAATTCACGTGAATCATAGTTCGTAAGTACCCACGGGAAGACAGGATATTGATTCATATCATTATACGTACGTCCCGCAATTGTATTCAGAAACATCAAATACTCGAAATTGGAAATCTCACGACGCTGCCATTTCTGCGTCATATTTGAATTTCTCATCAGCTGACGAGGCGACATCATCGAGGCGCGTCTCGTTTGTGGAATGCCATATTTAATACCAACACCCACTCGCGGTAACGCTTTGATGACTTTCTTAACGGTATGCTGATCAGGAAATGCAAACAGAATTGAGGTGCGACTGGCAAGAAAGATTTCCAGCGCAACATTCTGCAACAAATACCGACGCGAAAAAATGGCACGAATCTCAGAGAAATACCACTTTCCATGTAAGTGGTCACAATATTTGAGCACTTCTGAATCAATTTTTTGGAATTCATCATTCTCTTCGTCAACTTCAAAATACATTTCAGTTGCTGTAATTGACATTGTTCCGGGCGCGACAAGTCCTGGCGCAATAAGTTTTGCTTTCGTACTAATGTTTACGGGACCAGTCAAGTCCAAATCTAATTCACGATCCTCAATTAAAAGCTCAGAATCGTCTAGTAAGTCAGGCTGTTGTGACCTTGGGACGGCAATTTGTGAGTAAATTTCTTCACGATTAGAATTTGTTGTATCTTCATTAGAGTCTGTAATTGCTTGTAGCGTTGCTTCCGGATGACTACTACCGCGTGGATTCTGTACGAGACGTTTACGACGTCTTGCGTCATCCTCCCATGCATCCAATTTCCAAAACACTTGTTTCTGTGTTGACACATCACCCCAAGCTCCATGTTTATTGCTCATTATGTTACGGACCTTTTCGAGTAGTCGACTTGCAATTACGTTATCGCGTCGTCTTGCTGCTGTAATAAGATGATCGCACATTCTCTCTTCCTCACGTCTCTCGAGGAGTGTTTGAGCACAAAGTGTCTCAAAATCAGCATGCTTCAATACATCATCGGCTCGCATACGATTTAATATGAATTCGGCCTCATTAGCAACACGCACAATATGATCTTTCATTGCATGCGACAGCAGACGACCCTCATTAATCAACTCAATGAATGCCAGGCCAGCATGCTTCTGTAAGCTATTTTGCCATTCTTGGGAGCACAGTAGCATGACTAATTCAACAACAGAATGACTATTTTTGAATGTTGTTAGACCTTTACCCTCCATCAGTAGCTCTTGTCCGTGCGATCCAACCAGTGTTTTTGACAGGAATGGCGCAAAATCGACCATAATTTCACGCAATAAAGGACATACAGGACCGAGTGCAATCTCAAGCTTTTGCGTTAAATTTGCTTCACGTGATGGTGTTGTGAGCGGTAATTGTGATATCATTGGTGGCTTTATGGACAATTCTTCAGGACGACGTTGATTTGATGATGTAAAATTACCCTCCGACACACGAACGACCGATATATCAGATTCCATTTTATCACCACGTTCTATATAAATATTTATGTTCATTTCAGCATCCATATATGCGTTTTTATGTTGAGATGTGAAGCAGTTTTGGGTTAAAATGTAAGAGAATAAAAGAGATAGACATGAGATATGGAATTTATATTTTATGATTCAATTACAGTGAGATAAATCTAGATTATGAGTGTCTAACTGCTAGAGGATTTATTTTTATGAATAGTTTGGTATGGCTTCGAGTTGAGGATTAATTGGCAGTTCTTTATCATTAAAGTTTGAACTGAATATTAAACATAGCGAGCAGAGACCTAAAGGGTCATTCATGAATGATGTATATCAACACTGAGAAGTTTACATCCCTTCTTTTGTAAGGTATTTAAGTATCACGTAAGTTGAACATAATTTATGAACGACTCATATGTAAATCAGGTCTATTTTCATGAAATCTTCATTTTTGACAAAGCCTTACTTATCAGTCATAATTTTTATAGAGATCAAATATTCTCCATAAATATTTTACTTCCTTCCGTGCCTTAATCGATTACCTTCCAAGAATTTACAAAGTAAATACAAAAGTTCTACATCCTCAACGCCCCCGAACAGAATATTTTCTTATTCATCCTGCCAATTTTCCCAACAATTTGAAGTCATATAAACTTTATCGTTATGTATATGATTTAACCATAAACCACATACATTGATGATGATAAATGGAAGAAAAAGGGATTGGGATCCAATTCAACTACATTATAATGTGTACATACACATATGAAATATTCAATAACTTACCATCAATGTCACGCATTTTCTCGTTAACATCCTCATTTAAATTCACATCCGTCCAACTCTCATCATTGGAATTATTTGGTTTGTTATCGTCAGGCAAAATTTCACTTGATGTCTCACCTTCCTGTGGATCATTCTCCGTTGAATTCATATTTAATGACGCACCATCAGAATCGACGCTCTAGATTTGAAATAAAAAGTAGACATAAATAGATAAAAAATTTAAATAAAAGTGCTATTGATGGATACTACATTCTATGCTAGTAACAGCTGTTTCTAAACAGAAACATGATTAATGCACACAGGTTTTCTAAAAAAAATCATTATCTACTCCAAAACCACACACATATATATATATATATATTTAAAAAAAGTTTTTTGTGAAAAAGCTAAGGACATGATTGATAGATGGCCAAAAAGTCTATACTTTATAAAGTTGCATGCAATCGTCTACCATAAAATTTGCCAAATCCCACCCGAAAAATGATGTCTAGAGGAACATGATCTAATCAAAAGTTCATCATGCATAAAACCACCTTTCTATAAAATTCAGGACTTCTTGTGCTGTGCTCAAACGTCTCACACAAAATTTGGATAGATAGATGAATAGGAACCGTAAAAGAAAGTTGGAAAATTATGACGTTGATGATAAAATTCTTTCATTTATCAATAGAACAAGATTTTGGGGATCATTCATGAACGACGTTAAAGAAATTTTTGAATATTCTCCCTTTGTCCGTGCTAATATTTACACAAAGACTCACCAACCCTTATAAATAACCGACGTAAATGTCAAACAATCCCAAAATGTTGATAAGGGGCCGTTCACTTATTACGTTCGCATTTTAGGGGGGAGGGGGGGTTTGAAAATTTGTAACAACATGTAACATAGGGGGGGGGGGGCTGTGAGTTGTAACATATTGTGACAAAGGGGAGGGGGTGTGAAAAAAGTCGTTTTTTGCGTAACGTAATAAGTGAACGGCCCCTAAGAGAAATTAGAGAATGAAAGGCATTCAAGTTTGAGGAAATTTTGTTTTCTTATTCTGTTCGTACAAAATTTTGAAATTAGATCTGCATCTTCTGTATGGTTTTTAAGGTTTTTCTATGTGAGTTCTTTCAAAATCATTTTAAAAATTCTTTGAATTTTCAAAAAGTCAAATGAAGTTTCTTAATTCAAAATATTTTGACTCATATATATTCTCAATTCCTGATAAACTCTCCGTATCAATTTAATTCATAAATTCAGACATCGCACTCAATCTCATCTCATCATTCCGACACAGCACTAAAATATGAGATTTCTTTCATTAAATCATGTTAGAAACATGCACAACAATAAAATAAAACTTATTTCTCGTGACGGACAGAAGCAGAATAACATTTTCATTATTGTTATTAAATGAGCAGTCACGAAAAGTGAGGAAAAGAACAGAAAAAAACTTCATTCTTGCTGCTTTTTTTTTTATTATTTCATGATTGATTATGCTGATGATTTTCAATCTATTTCCTTAAACGAGTAGGCAGAAAAAGGAGAACAAAAAATATTTCATAACTGTCAGCTGCGGTGAGTTTTAGTTTTGAGTACGAGGAAGTGAAATGTTTACAGAACGGAAAGAATTCATTTCTGTTGGAGCCACTACGATGGTTTGTTGTTCACATTGCTGGATTTTGTGTGATAAAAAGGAAATTTATTTGTTTTTTTTTTCTTCTCTGAATGTGATATGAAGGAATTCATGTATGTGCGTTTCCTACGATACTGACAACACAAAAGAAAAATGCTAGACACATGGACCTTTTTTCAATGCCTCAATGTAAAATTGTACATGTGAGATGCCATTTCAATGCACAGAACAAAAATGTAATCAACTGTTGGGAGGTTTGTATAATGTGGGATATTGTCACTTGGATATATCGAAAGGCTTTTCATTGACTTCATTTCTATTGTTGTTGAGGATGAAAATAATTTTTTTAAATTCCAAATGTCATGGAAACTTGAAAATTGGAGACATTGTAGTCAAGATAAAGGTTTTAACCTCAAAGCTATGGACATATTTGAGTAATGAGAGGATGTATTTTCAATGCAATCGTTGACTGTTTTAATGAACTAAAGGAATTGTATCAAAGGAATGTGTAGCTTCACATAGAATTGTAATCTAGAGGTCCAAATTCGTACATTGCAGGATATCAAGTCATTAGTCAAGAAAATAGAGCTTCATAATTTTTATCATCTATGGAGGTCTTAAGTGAATTATTAGGTCTCAAAGAAACGGGTGCTAAAAGACATCACAAAAATATAGATTCTAGCCATTTTTTTTGTATCCTTAAAATTCCAAAATGAAAATGTTTTCAAATTCATCGGAAAATCTATCCAAAAATACCTTCAAAAACAGAATCAATTCCCCACATATTTTCACAAGCTATACACATACCCAAATGTTGGCATACAAAAAAAAATAAAATAGTCAGACATAAAAGCAAAATTCAACAAAAATCTACGTGACCGAATGGTGTGAGACGACAGTAGGCATTATTGTGATTCTGGTTATGATATGTTTGTGAAGTATTTGCACTTTTTTTTTTGTTGCAGTATAAACTGTAATTAATCTTACCTGTGTTGGTGGCTTTAAGTCAACAACATTTGGTAGCATTTTTGATATAGCCAACTGCAAATCATCGCTGACATTTACATTAGAATTGTTTGATGATTTGCGGCGTTGCTGTTGCGACTGCTTTTAGATTTTTTGTTTTTGTTTTTTTTTGTGGATTTTTTGAGTTTTTAATTTGAATATTTTTGTTTTGTTTATTAATTTAAACATTCATAAAAAGTTAATATGAAAATAAAAAAGTTGAAGCATTTCAACAATTAAAAAAAGTTAATCAATTTGATTAGAAATAGAAGAAGTTCATAAACATTTCCTAAAAAATTAATCATATTAATTAGAGATAAACAATTAAAGCTTTTTCATGCAAAAATTAAAGAAAAAATTGTTATTTAAATTTTTCGCATTTTGATAATTAATTTTAACTTTCGTGAGGCTTGTGTGATGGTTTGAGGAATTTTGAATTTGAATATTTGATGTAATTTAATTATGATAATTAAGGAAGTGAGTGAATATTTTACAAAGACGTTCATCATTTTGAGAATTAGCTAATTAGCAAAGGAAATGGAGTCAAATTTTTCTTATCTTATTTAAAATTTATTTGCAGTTTTTTCTTTCAATTCTACTTTCCTGGGATAATTTCAGATTAAATAACATTTCAATAGAGTTCATCAGAAGTTATTAACAATTTAAAGCATAAAAAAATCGCACAAGGGCGTTTCGCAGCTAATGAAAGTTTAACGAGTGAGGATTCAACAGACCGCACTACACTCAAACCTAGACCTACAATTTATAGTGGGATCCGAACCCACTATCCGAAGGATAGCTGTGAGCTTAATTTTCAGTCCATATTGATTGAAAAAGGTCAATAGAAAAATTTCCCTTGCTGAGTCTCGAACCCATGATCGCTGTGTTGGTATTGCAATAATTTTATACCGAAATACGAAACCATTCCGCCACCTAGATACTTTTTCTGATAATAACAATATAACAACTAGAATATCTCAAGCTGCATTCAAAGAATTCTGTCTGAATCATCAAATTCCATTGAACTCATTAAAACTGAAATTTTATACCCAACAACTCACTTGAAATTATCTTGAAAATCCGACATAAAATTTGAATAACAAAATCAAATTAATCAAATTATCATAAACCAAAAATTTCACACAAGCTTTCACAGAAACTGTTGACTCAATTCTTACTACAAAAATTAATCCTTCTCATAGTTAATTAACATTTTAAATTCCAAACCTAGCTTTAATAAATAAATTTTTCTCATCTTATAATATTCAAGCTAATTAATTAAATATTGCTTGTTAATAATATTCATGCTACAGGCATATTATTTATAACTATAATTAAAGAACTTATTCATATAATCAACATACCTTTATTGACGGTGGACCCGAGGAGGAGTGAGACTCATTTTCAGCGAGCACAGATGAATTGTTTTCATCAACAACAATCACTTCATAATCACCGTCCTGAATTGTTCGTGTACCTGTTGGATTGTAAAGAGAAACGAGAGATGCTGAATTAATTTATTTCAATAAGGATAATTAGTAACAACAATAGTGAACTTAATTCTTCATAGTTTATATAAATCTGATTTTTTGACGTTGTTTAGGAAATGGAGAAATAAAATTAGATTCTTAAATTTAACGGATTTTTTAAAATTTAAAATTTTAAGGGATTTTTAAAATTTGATCATTATAAATAACCTTTTGTTTGATTCTAAACAAATCAAATTTTGAAACAGTTGAAATAAAAGAAAATTTTATTTTATTTTAAAATTTCAAAAAAAAATCTTCCATTCCAAACCAACAACGTCAATCATTAGAAACATTTTTTAAAAAAAATTATGAATTAAAAACAATAATTTGCATGCAAAATTACATTTCATTGTTTCTGTGCACAAAACTGAAATAAAAAACATTTTTCTCTCTTTCATCTATTAAAATGCATTGTGAGTAGCTTTATTTGCTTGTTTGTTGTTTATTGCTCATCAAGCGGCAGGAAAAAAAAGTGATAAAATATACAATTATTCCCCATTGAAAGAGTCACAAATTGACATTGGGGTTGTGAAAATTTAGTGGATGTGGAACTAGCTAGACTTATTTGGTGTGGTGGAGTGAGACACAGTAAATTTTAGTGAATTAATAATTAAATGGCAAATTTTATCGATGTCAAATAATTATTTAAAATATTTGCTAATTTAACTTATTGTTTTATTATAAAATTTAATTAATTTTTGCGTCGAATTGGAAATAAAATTAAATTGGGTAAAATTAATTTTAAAACTATTTTCTTAAATTTTTTGGAAATTCAAATTTTAAATGTAGTAGTAAAATAAATACAAAAACCCCTTTTTTTCATCCTCCCCATTCCCAGAAAAAAAAAATATTTTTACCAAATAAATTCAGCATAAAATTGTTAAGAATATCGAGAGAAGAATCGCGGCTTAACAACGTATAAAAATAGCGCAAAAAAGATAAATTGGCGTATTAAGAGGAAACAAGAATTAATGGCTATGGCACTTGTGCTCTCATACGGCATAAAAGCTATTTAGTGGCATTAAGCCCAATGCAATAAAACAGAGGAGATTCTCCTTTTTCCATAGAAATAAAAATAAAGACAAGTTTGAAAACTAATGCAGTTGTAGTGGTTTAGTGTGCATTTTATAATGTCCTTAATTTTGAGCAGAGTTACTTTTAATAGGTACAGGTGCAGATCTATCACAGACTGTCTGTCAACATGGCAATTACCTTTCACAGATGTGACATGCCTTTCAACAGATTTGATTTTAAAATAAATCTCAGAGGTCGAAGCGAGTTTTTAGCGAGTTCGCTTCGCTAAAAATTCAACTTGCTAAAGTCGACCTGTAGCGAGAAATTTTTTTTTCTTTTCGCCTTAGCGACCTATAGCGAACTCAATTTTATTTTTTTCGCTTTAGCGAACTATTGGCGAACTAGAAAAAATTGTTTGGCTTCATGTAAAGAGATGTCTGATTGCGTTTGTGAAGTATGTAATTTCATACAAAATTGCAAAAAATTATAGTTCGCCAATAGTTCGCTATAGCGAACTTTGAAAAATTAAGTTCGCTAATAGTTCGCTATAGCGAAAAAAATAAAATTGAGTTCGCTATGGTTCGCTAAGGCGAATAGAAAAAATTTTTTCTCGCTACAGTTCGACTTTGGCAAGTTGAATTTTTAGCGAAGCGAACTTGGCGAACCAAGTTCGCTTCGACCTCTGATAAATCTGCCTTTCACAGGCAGTGCCTATAGACAGGCAATCGCCACTCTGATTATTTGAGGATTAAGCCAAGAGATTTAGATTATTTATCAGTGGCATAGCAACAATTGACTATCTTCTTCTCTGACTTAGACTCAAGACAACCCCCCTCCCCCTACCCAATCACAAATAATCCACTCGAATTCACAATTTTTATTAAAACTAGACCCCGAATCACTAAACATTATTATCTCAAAGAAGATCCACAAACAGCATGACAAAGTGCATCATTCAATAGCCAACACTACGAACATAAAATCTAGCTCTAGAAAAAATATCAAGAAAATGAAAATTGGCGAAATAAATTTTAATCGCTATTCATCTATAAAGCACACAAGAGAATCAACTAGGAAATCATAAATTTCGAGAAACAACAACAAAATTCTACTGAGTGAAAAAAAATTAAAACAATAAATTCGGAACCAAAAAGAATAACGGACATCAAGTAATTTTTTCAGTACCTGAACTCCGATAAAAATTATTATTTAAACCATTATTTTTCATAATTCGACTACGATTCTTCATGTGCTGTGAAATTCCATTTGTCGGATGTCCGACATGTCCAACAATAGAATTATTAATCATAACAGTTCCATCGCGTTGCTGTTGCTGTATAAATTGATGCTGTTGTTGATAATAAGTTGCATTTTGTAAATCATTGTTCAGCATTTGACCACCATTACTGCCAAAATTCATGTTCGATTGATGCAAATGCTGATGATTATTATTTATTATGTGACTATTGTGATGTATTGGTGATGAATTATTTACGGCATTCATCATATTCGAGGAATTTGCATTAATATAATTATTATTTGCATTTGATGAAATATGATGATGCTGCTGTTGTTGTTGTTGTTGCTGCTGCATTTGATGAAAATGTTGATGATGTTGTTGCTGTACAACAACTTGTGGTGTTTGATGATTCGGATGTGTACCAGGCGGTAAAAATTGTGGATATACATGATGTGACCATTGCGGAAAGAGAGGACGATTTGAGCTTTCTAAAGCTACCATAGTGCATTAAAGTTTATGGTACAGTGGATGTATCATGTATATTGTTCATAGTGCATGAATCAAAAAATAATGTTGAAAATTTATGAAATGTCATGAAGATATAAAAAAGTTTCGTGGATCATCATAAATTCATTCATAATACGAATATTATGTACAGGCACACACACAGACATTTTTTTCATTTTTTATATTTAATATACAATTTACATATTTTTTTGGTTGGGTTCATAAAAGCAGCGTGAAATAAAATTTAACAAAAATACCATATAAAAAAATGGAAGAGAGAAAGAGAGAGAGAATAAAGAATCGTAAAAGGACATGATTACTGATTAGCCTAAATGATACAGATAAAAAATGTTCTTTTTTTGAGGTTATGTTGATAATAATTTTGAGGTTATGTTGACAGCACTTATTTCTTCTATGCAGCTAACAAAACGACTCAAGATCAACTAAACCACAATTCCTTTTTTATAGACAATTCATCTTGCTGTAGCAATAAAAGCTAGCTAGCTTTACCTTTTTGTGTCCTATTCTTTTTTTATTTTTATTACATTTTCTGAGTGTAGCTTAAGACTCTCATGTGTAAAATAAATATTAATGTCGTCTTCTACATACCTTGTGTTGGTGTCGCACGTTGCATAACTGGAGATGAACGTTGTATTTGAACCTCGGCTGGTGGTTCCAATATATCACGATATTTCGATACCATAAGAACGGAGATAAAGTAGACAATAGCAAGTGATAAAAATTGTGCTTGCTTCGTTTCCTCCTGTTATGGGAATAATAATTTTTATTTTGAGAATAGATTAGAAGTTATTGGATAGAGTTGAGGTGGCATAATTTTACTATTGGATATTTATGCTTGTTTGGGGGTTAGGTACAAGTATAGACACAAATATTATAGTCTTTTTGAGAAATAATACCAAATGAAGGTTCAAAACCCCTAAAACTTATGCAAAATACATTCTTAAGGATTAGGCTTGCTAGTTTCATAACCATTCCAGGTACCTTCTTCCTTTTGGACCTGTCACAGTTGTAAGATTGTAAGATTCTTATAATATCAGAACTTCTCTAATCATTAAAAATTACGTAATACGAAAATTTGCTTCAAATAACCTTCAAAACCACAAAAATATTCGAGCATTAAATCCACATTCAAACCTCATTTGCTCCATATTTTATGCAAAATAAAGGATGTGCAGAAATCTCATCCAAAATTCAAATCAACATTAAAATTTCATACCACTTTTCAGAAGGATTAAACTTGCTGCACAAGCATGTGAAAAAGTTTTATACCCGGACTGATACTCAACAAGATTAATATCCAAAGCAACAAATACTCTCTATGGGCCCTCAGTTCCTCCCACATAAACTACAAATAAATAATTCTACTCACGACATCACGATATATAACAGCACGCAATCGATTAACATCCATATCTTGCAATAATTTCTCAGGATCCTTGACTGGCGATAGTGGACCAGTTAATGAATCAACAATGCTTTTCGGTGATGTTTGAGCGCCACGAATGAGAGCTTGTAGATGAGCAGCACCAGGAATTTCACGCATTGATGTGCCATTGTACATTCCACGCGTTCTTTCCTTACATTCCAGACAATTTCTAACAGCACAAGTGCTAACTAGACGTAAACATTGTCGCAAAATTCCACCACTTGACATATTTTTCTCAGCTTCCAGTTCACCAAAGTTTAATGAACTCGCAAAGACTAAAACGTCAGCCATGTTAACGAGACGCTGTAAAAATGATACTGCAACATCTAATGGCATTCCCTGTGTTGGTTCCAATACATCAAGCTCAGAATTTGGTGACGTTGCACTAGCAAGTAATGGCAAAAGACCGCCGCATGCAATAATCAGATTATCAGCCAATTGTGAAATTAAATGGACGGTATTGACGACAAAAATTGCATTTTCTGCTGAATTAACGAAATCTAATACGCTTTTTGTTGAGTGACTACGCCATACTTGAATGTCTGTTTCGAGTGAAAAGAGCACATCTGACAATAATCGTTGATGAATGTAAGACCATTTAAATTCAGGAATACGAAATGGTGGACGTGTCGGACCGGGACTAAACATTGGGCGACTTGATGTTGATTTTTGTCGCTGTTGCTTATGCGAATCATCACCCATTTGCTGCATATTTTGATTTTCAGCATTTAAATTTTGTTCATTTGTCGTTGACGTTGTAGGCGATGGCGATGAATTGTTTGTCTTATTCTCATTGATTGGTGAATCATCAGATAATGATGATGGCAATGCTGAGTCGTTTGACGATGAAAAATGTATTTTTCCGTCTGTTGGCTCCGGGGTAATTGATGTTACAATATTATTATTTGCTACATCAATCTCATTCTCAATTTTATTATTTAAATCATCATCCGTGCTTTGTTGTTGCTCCGACGGCTGCTGCTGTTGCTCATCTTTCAACTCATCAACTAATGTTGAATTTTGTTCTTCAATTTCCTTCACAGCATCATCAATAATATCATTGATTACTTCTTTCACGACTTGCTCATCAGTTGCAGGAGTCTCTTCGTCACGTTTCTCATTCTGTTGACTTTTCTCATCCTTTTCGTCAACAACAATGTCTTCGACTATTTTCTCCATCTCAATCTTCTCTGGCTCTTTATTTTCCGTCACTTCTTCAACATTTATCTCGTCTTTTTCTTTCTTCTCTTCCATGTCTACATCTGACACTCCTTCAGTCACATTTTCCGCACTATTGATTTCTGTTTTATTGACAGACTCATCGATTATTTCACTCACAATTTTCTGAACAAGTTCTGTTGTATTTTCGTCAATCGCTTCTTTTGTCTCAACATCCACATTCTCGACACATGCACTCGTTAGTTCAACCACTTCCTCTTCATCTGATTGCTTTTTATCAATAATTATTGCACTTTCTTGTGGTTTTTCATCAGTCTTGTGTTTATTTTCCTCATCAATATCATTGACATGCTCGATTTTCATCTCACTACTTTCATTATTCACTGACGTTTCTGTTTCTGCTTTTAATTGAATTTGTCGGACACCACTAACAACCTCGTGTACGGCCTGCTCAAGCTCTTCGTCCTTAATTATTGCCGTCTCATGTTGATTCATCATATCGTCCGAAAGTTGTTTACATTCATTCAGGAGCTTCTCTGACTTTTCTAGTATCTCTTCGACAATTTCTGTCGCTATTTCACGTGACTCTTCATCATTATCACCATCAACATCTGGATTACCTAATTGCTGCTCTAAAATGTCCGTCAATTTACTCTTCTCATCGGTCATTGATGCCACAGATGATGTGGTTGTCGTTTCATCAATTGCTGGTACTGATGGTGTTGTTTCACCATTTATTTCCTTATGATAAACATCAGATATACTCGCAATTCTTGGCTTTTGTAATTGCTGTTCATTTAATGTTATTGCCGCTCTACCACCTTCAATAGCCTTTTGTTGTTGCTCATCATCATCATCCTTTTCATTATTTCCATTATACTCATCAGTCTGTACCGTTTGAACCTGTTGAGATTGTTGAATTTGTTGTAAATTAATGCCGTCATGCTCTTGATCCCATCCCGATATTGTACTTATCGGTCTTGATTGACGCAACTCTGGATCCGTAATATTGTCCGTACGATGTTTCTCATAATGTTCATACATTTGGGCAAATTGAAGCTTGAATTCTTCATAAGATACCTAAATAAATAAATATAACGAGGTTAAAATAAGAAAAATGCTTATAACCAGGTACAGACACAGAAAAAAAGGCAGGGAAATAAATTGTTACTGTAAATTGCGCATTTAATCGAGGTATTGCGGAAAAATACTGCTGTGTATTTTGTATAGGATATATGTGAATGAGAATAAAATGGGAATCGGTGTGGTTTGAGATATAAAAAAGGTACGAAAAAAGAGTTTCTCTTCTTCCACTTCCGAAAGCATGATAATTGAAGCACTTTTTCAAAAAAAAGAGTAGAAATAAAGAAGAGAAAGTAATAAAAGAAGGAATGCGAAGCAAAACATTTCACCAATGGGACGGAAAAATTCACATGATTTTGTGTGGATGTTCGACTTTTTTAAAGAAAAAGTGGGGATTATCTTATTCACTTTATTCTCATTCAGTTTGAAGGATTAAAGTTGAATTGAGATTTTTTTTGGAATTGTTAAAAAATGGTTTGGATTTAGCTGTAATTGCTTATTTTTAAAACTTTTGTCTGGATTTTTTAACAATTGACAGTTTTTTTTATGAAATTTGGTTAACAGTGCCTCGACAAGCCATTGTATATCGATGGCCTCGTTTACTAGTGGCTGTTTTCTCTGGTATGTCCTAGATAAACCCTAGTCAAGAACTCTAGTATGGCAAGAGGACAACCAAGAGTATACACTAGTCATGCAATATAGTATGGCCATTATATATCCAAAAAACAAGCTTCACAGCATCTCTCAATGCAAACCACCTCATATTGTTCACAGGTGCAATGACTTCTCTACTTGCTGTTGAAAACATACTCGAAAGTGAAGTAGATATGAGTAAATCTAAAGGTATATGTGTATGCTCTTGCCATTAAAGTGCTTCATAAATCATAAAATGCCTTCCATGATACACTCAACTGTAGTCAGATCTTTAAGTGTATAATGTTGGGGTTGGAAATGAGTATTTTCAGTAAATATTCACACGTGAGCGAGCAAGAAATAAATGAAGAAGGAAAAAGTCTTGAAATAAGGAGGAAATTTACTTTCGGTATGATTTGTAAGATTTTTTTTTTTTTCATATTTCCGGATAGAAATGCAAAATCATTGGGTAAATAATTTCAAAAGTGAGTTAAAATTAATGATTTTGTTGACTACGATGTGAAAATTGCTCAACTGCAAATTACTTCAATTACAATGAAAAGCTTTTTTCAGTTGAGGACGTCATTATGATGCAATTTTATATCAATTAATTAAATGATGTAAATTATCCACTCAAAAATTTCTCTGTAATCTGGATTTAATGCTTATTTTCCAAAAAGGGATCATATACAAGTGACGTCTAACGTTTATTTTTATGGATAAGCATAAGAGATGACGGAAGTCTCGAGCTTTAAACCATTTCTTAGCATACATGTGAAGTGTTCCCTTTTGTGAACGTTACTGGTGTACAACCCCTAGCAGTAACTATGGAAAAATTATCCTCACATTGAAAATTATCGCAATTCCCGATGGATTTATTAAAATTTTACAGCAACAAAAGACTCGAAGCTTTTAGAGTAACGATTTATAATGAACTCTCCAATATGTAATTTTAATGAGCGAGTAATCGGAATTGGCTGAATAATTATTGATTAATATGAGAAAAAAAAAAGTTTTTACTCCTACCAATTCCGAAATAACTTATTTAAATCACAAATATGGAACCAAAAAAAAAGTTAAATATCCTTACCTTCGAATGGACGATAGCCAATGTATCAACCCATACTCTCCATCCACCATACTCATACTTAATCGCATGATGCAGCAGCATACGAAACAATGAATAAACCATATCAGATATTTTCTGCTCTTCTGTATTTTTCGGATGTATATATGCCATTGCTATAAGCCATTCCTGCCATACAGACATCTGAAGTACTGTTCGACGATTCTCTCGATTATTATTACACAAAAGTGTCATATCCGAGAGAAAAAGTTTCTTTACTTCCAATAGTTGCTCTGTTTGTTTCGATTGTCGTATAAGTGTTGCAACGACTTTCAATATCACTATAAATGATGATGATCATATTCAATGGCGGCAAAAAAAAAAGTAAATAGAAAATAATAAAAAGAAGAAGAAAATATTTGAATTGAAATTGAAATGAAAAATGGAAGTAAGTGTGAAAAATTATATAGATAAGGCATATAAGCCCTGACAGACAAATGAGTATACTCACTTGAGTATGTTATGGTACCGTACATGAGTATACTCATGGTAGATTGCATTTATGTGTGACTTTAAATTCATATTGATAAGAGTGTCGATAAAATGGGAGAACTATGTTTTTTTAATATTTTATCTGTAGCATACAATTGACAGTTTCTGCCTGTTGTCCAATGTGTGCGCTTCATTTCCAGTATGCATAATTTAAAAAGTAATTCACATTCGTGACTAGATTGATTTTTAGAACAACTATACTTGATACTAGTTCAAAGTAAGATTCTTCAGCAATTGTCTTTGATTCCTTTGTAAATTTAGATCTTTTTCCTTGTGAGAAGCAATTCAAGCTAATCTAGACTAACAGACTTATAGACTTCCAGTGATTAGAAACAAAATAGCGATAGAGGCACTTGTGCACAAGTGAGAACCGTACAATTCCTTGATAATTTTCTAAGGTTTTTCTAACAGTACCATACAAATGCTAATGAAACCTCAAAAATTATCAAGGAATTGTACGGTTCTCACCTATGCACAGGTGCCTTTGTCGCAACCCTGATTAGAACATCCCAATTTCATCGAAATAATAATATCTGAAGCTAATTCATTTAAAAATTCACCCAGAAAAACAAAATAATTTAAAATAAGCAAGTCAAATTACATGTCATACCACCCCAACCACTCAAAATCAATAAAAAATTATTGCCCAACAATGAAACGAAGAAGAAAATAAAAATAAAAAAAAATCGTAATAAGTTATCTGGTGATGGCATTTTATAGAATAACATAAAATACAAGAGAAAAGAGATTGTGAGTAGATATCGATAAATATATTCAATATGGTTATGGATACGTAGCATATAAAAATATCCTGAATGTGATTGGCTTTTCGGTAGGGAAGATGCTGATGCTGATAACAATTGTACAAAAAGAAAAAGAAGGTGGAAGGAGTGAAAAGCAATTGAAGTCGTACGATATAAAGAAGACATTATTGTCGATTCGCTGTATAAAAAAGCAATTTTAATGGGTTCAATATTATTTCTTGTTACTTCTCTTCAGGTTATAAATTTTAATATCTTATTGACTCGACAATATTCTTAATGCACATAAATTTCACCAAAGGCTTGTAAATCTCTCCATGTACATCAGTTCAGTTAAGAAGTCGACGACTATAAACAATGCTTTATGTTCTATGCTCATACACATGTTTGTGTTGTTGGAGAAGAAGAATTTCTGTTGTTTGTTGACAAATACCCTGAGACGAAATGATTCTGAACTGAATTTAAAGGCATGCGTTTTTGATTTTGTGTTGTTTTTTTTTGATGCTCATATTGGCTGCTTTAATATTTTATTCTATGTTTTAAGGTTTAAGTCTATTGGATGGCTGAAATCGGATCAAATCCACACAAGTTATCAAACCTAGATTTTTTACTGATGCTTTAAACAAGTTTTTAACCAAGGATTGTTCAATGCCCTTTCTATATTAAATCTTGCATGTTAAAAATTATAGGCTGCGTCTAAAAACTGAGTTTATCTGAATATTTTTCTGAATTACTATTTCTAGCTTCTCCGTAGATTTCAAAAACCTTTCAAAAATCAAAGTTCATAAACTAAATCTGAAGCCAATTAAAGTTCAAAAATTCCTCTACAAATAAAAAAACTCTTTTGAAAAATTTCAATTCACATTCGAAAACTTTATATCAAGAATTTTTATGGATTCAACATGATTCATCTAAAATAAATTTATTTTATGTTCTGGCTTCAAAATTCCTTTTAAATTGTAATGCAAAAAAATACATCAAAGTTTGTTAAAGAGCTTTATGGATTTTCAAATGACACTAATGGTTGAATTTGATGGCAGAATTTTTACAACTCAAAAAAAAGTTTTATTTTTTTCCTCGGTTTTGCCACAAAAATTTGCATCATAAATTTTTTTAATGGTTAAACTCATTAGCTGCAAAATATGTTTGAGCAAAAAAATGTGGAATAAAATTTTTGAAGTTGATTGGTTGAATTTTAAAACAGATTATTTTTGGTTCTTGGATGATTCTGAAATTTTTTAAGTTTTTGAAAACAATGCCAGTCAATACTCGAATCAAATTATGTGTAAAGAAAAAAAATATTTCATGAGCATAAACAGACCCCTTGAAGTTCGTTTCAATATATTTCTTTTTTAAAAAGGAATTCCAGACTTTTCAAAAATTTAACTGAATTTTTAAATGTTTCTGTCCATGATGCCTACTAAAGTACTTTTATTAAGAAAAACTCCCGCTTCTAATTTGTCTTTTAAGTGGAATTAAAAATTTAAATCTAAAATCAACTGAACCAATTATTCAACCAGCGTATCCCAAAGTATCTTCAATCACACTTACTAATTTCCAATTTATATGCATTAAGCTCTCCATTGTCAATTTTGTATTGTCGACCCAGTCATTCTACCAACTGATAGCTCATTGAATTAATATTGGCATAAAACCCACAACCAAACATGATTAAATTCTCGTATATTTTTTCCCCCCTGAAATCGTAAAAGAAGTCCATTCTGTCTATCGAATCTCTTATCAATGTGAAAATGTCACACATAGTCATACTCAACAATATTCGTGTTCCTTTTATCATGATTAAATAATTGCATTTTAATGCTTACTTGGATTCTCCAAACGATAATGACTTTCAGGCTCCGGATGTCGTGTATAAAGGATTTGTTGTGAAATATGCTCCGTCATTATCTCGTATAGAACATTATAGATGGGCAATGATAACGATTCCTCATACAACAATAGACGCTCGGCCAATAATGTATATAAATTATGTGGTGACATTACATCATATTTTCTTCTATAACGTTCATTGTTGTTATGTCCAAAATTTGATGGTGCGACAAGGCAAAGATTTTTTTTTAGATTTTCATTTATTGATTTTTTATTTATCATCATCATCAGCGTCGTCGTCAGCATGATATTGCCATTGTAATGTTAATGTCAGATGATGGATGGTATAATGAAGAAAAGAAGAAAGGCATGAAAATAAAGAACAATAAAAGAAATGAGGAATTGTGGAATAAAATATTGGGTTTTTTTTTTGCCACTATCAATGTAGTTCGGGGAGTGTACACTTATTCGGGAAGTCTGATTTCGACCAATTGGAACAATTTTTATATATTATATCAGTTTTTGAACCGATTCAACTAAGTTTGAACCGATTCAAGTAAGTTCGAACAGATTCAAGTAAGTTTGAACCAATTCAAGTAAGTTTGAACCGATTCAAGTAAGTTTAAACCGATTCAAGTAAGTTTGAACCGATTCAAGTAAGTTTGAACCGATTCAAGTAAGTTCAAACCGATTCAAGTAAGTTTGAACCGGTTCAACTAAGTTTGAACCGATTGAACTAAGTTTGAACCGATTCAACTAAGTTTGAACCGATTCATCTAAGTTTGAACCGATTCAACTGATTTTGAACAGATTTAACTATGTTTTGAACCGATTCAACTAAATTTGAACCGATTCAACTAAGTTTAAACCGATTTAACTAATTTTGAACCGATTTTACTAAGTTTGAACCGATTTAACTAAGTTTACAACCAGTTTGGACCGCTTCAACACGCTTCGAACTAATTCAACCTATTCAGAATCGATTTAACGAAGCACGAACCGATCCAAAAAGTTTTGAGAAATTTAAATCAATTTTAACCAGTTCTAGAAAAAAAATTAATCTGGCATGAAATATATTCAAAGAGTACACGCCTCACCATACATGATTATCCCTTTCATTATCATTATTACATTTCAACATACATCAACATATATGTCTATAATCACAAACGAACAGCACAACAAAAAAATATTTTAATGTACTCACTTGTGTGTACTACGTGATAAAAAGAAACCCATTAATTTAAGTGCTTGTAGGCGTATGAGTTGACTCTCTGCCGCTAATAATTTAAATATAGATCGCATTCCATGCTTAACATCGAATGCTGGCACCATTGAGCTTGGATGTTCTGACATTAATGATATAAGCATTTGTAATACATCGTGAAGATTTTCATCCTCGTGAATTGTTGTTAGATAATTTAAAATGCTTTGTAATTCATCGTCCTTTACACCATTACCAATCATTATCAGTTGCTTTAAAAATAGTAAAATGTAGGCACGTATTGCTAAAATATCCTTTTGAGCCGGTCGAGGTCCATCTATAAATAAATATTAAAGAGAAATTTTATTGCAAATTTAAGAAAAAAATGTTTGTTGCTCTTATTTGTAGGGACAGAAACAACAGCTTGGTATTATGGAGATGATGTTAAAAATGTAAAGGTCAAAAATTGCTCGACAACCTTTTTTTAAATAAACTGAGATAAGCATGTTAGGAATTACAAGATGTACATTTTATGTTGCTTCTTTTGAATCTTCATGCTAAAGGTTGAGGACCAAATAATGTGACGATTTATTTATTCTTGTTTTATGTTCTTAAAGTCTTAAATTTGTAAGGCAATTTGGAGAAATCTTTTTTGTCATGGACAATTCTGTCAATGCTGAGTACTACATATAAAAGCATAGAGTTTATAGAACAACTGATCGGTCACAATCATTTAATCAAAAGTCCTGCTATGAATTCTATTTCCATCCCTAAGTTGAGCAGGGTAGATAACTTTATAAATCTTTAAATGACATATGAAGCTTTAATTCATTCAATTTAAAATCAAATCATGAAAAAAAATCAATTTTACAAAATCCTTGGCCTAATTTTTTCTTATTTTGTCTGAAAACACCTCCAAAACAACCTCCTCACATTCAAAACAAATCTTACGAAAATGTAATAAAAATGTCTCTTAAAACATTCTCTTAAAATAATGCAAAATTCTTCACATGAGAATTTCCACAATATTAAATTTCCATCAGTCTACAAAAGACTTCTTCTTATTCTTTATCGAATTCTATCAAAAGAAATTCTATGAACATATTAGAAAAAAATTCATGTGGAAAATTCCTTGAAATTTACAAGGGCAGAATGATCAAAAAGAAGACAAATTCTTCAAGGAAAATTAAATAAAAGCAAATTCAAAATTGATTTCGTAAGAAAAAGCTATTGAAAATTTTTTGAGTCAATTTAAAATGATTTTGAAAAAATCTTGCTTTATTAAAGTTAAATTTGAAAAAATTTATTCAACAATGTGTCAAACTTGATAGCATTGGAACGTGTGTCATTCTGAGGTTTTGCTTAAACAGTGCAATAATTGAATTTTTTTTTGAAATTTAAAGTGAAACTTCCCAAACTTGACTAAATTCCATTCAATTTGCCAAAAAAAACTTTTCCCAATTAATTTTTATCCATCTCTTAAATTCCAATTTATTAAAATTCATCCTTAAAAAAGACAAGAATTAAAAAGATCACCTTCCATTCATTCAACATCTTTCGTTTATCATTTCAATTTAATAAAACGTAATTTTAAATTTCAAATCAAAAGCGCATTATAGAAACAAACCAGATTTAAAATCAGTGCCAATTTCATTTTAAGAGATACTTTCTCTTTTCATCTTTCATCTTCTATACTATATATATATATATATATATATATATATATATATATATATATATATATATATATATATAAATTAAATGAAATGATAAAATGTACTTCTAAATATTGCCACTACTCCTTTTTGCTTCGTTCTACAGTTCTACAAGTTCATCCACCCACGAGAAAGACAGAGCAAAACTCAATTCAATATTGGCATAGCTTGATGATGAGTGAACTGAAACAGGAAAGTATTCGTTAAAATGAAACAAACTATTCTGGTTTGGACAGTGAAAATGGGGATGCGATGGAATTAAGGAAGTGGATAAAAATGGCCAAATGAAAAAAGCAGTAAACTAAAGCTTATTGACCGTTGGAGAGCATCGTAATGAAAATTATGAGTGGAAAATTGATTTTATTTCAGTCTTTTTGGCTACCTTTTAATTTCGAAGTATTTAATGGATATCTTGAAAAAATGAATTTTAAAACTGCATTAACTCTCTTGATCTGAAGCAGACCGTTTGTCTGGTAAGGAACTTAAAACGGCTTTTCGCACTTTTAGTCAGAGTTGTAGCCAAAATAAAATTTGCAGTCCGAATCCAAATTAATGTCCTTTTTCACAACTGCTGCTTTTCAGCTTTGCGAATCATACTAAAACCCACTTAAAACAGCCAAAACCACAATTTTTATCATCAAATTCATCATTTATTTCCTTCCGTTCTTAATAATTTCCATCGACAGCACGTTTTTGAGTTTAAACTTTTTTGCAAAGAAAAAAAAAAATAATAAAAAGGTTGAAGAAAGTTATGGGAACTCTGCTATCGGCGTTGATTCATTCAACACTACAGAAAAATAAAGTAAGGAAGAGACAAGGAAGGAGTAAAAAAAAGTATGCAAAGATTTATTATCGTAAGTTGATTTAGGAAGACAATTGTTGGAAAATTCAATTTACACGGTCTGGATTCATAAATAATAATTTACTGAGCGTGCTGTTTGCCTTAAATTTTTTACTCAACTCAAATAAAACTTATAAAAAACTAGCTGATTAAGTTTATTGGAAGTAAATAAAAGTTTTTAAGAATTTGATTGAAGTTTACACGAGCATGATAAATTGAGGTACAGAATTTTGCGAGGAATTTTCAAAAAGGTTTCGATTTAGTTTTTATTTTTGACCTTTTACAAAATTTATTCATGAGTTGGTTGAAGATTCTGTGGAATGCTAAGCATTATTAAATTATTTTGACCTTTATCGAAAATATTTTTTCAAGATCTTAAAAGTTAAGATTCTTATAGAGTTCCATATTATCATTACACCTAGAAGGATGTCTAGATTTTAATCCTACAATAAATATTCCTAATTTCATCATTCATCTCAACAAGATTCCAATTAAAAGCTTCAAAAACCCTTTAAATCCACCAGATGAGAACAAGTCCATGTCTCTAAATTAATTGAGATTCATGTAAAAATCTTCAATATATCATAAACTTATCCTACTCTTACAAAGTAATAAATTATTTCACCATCATGGCTTAAAAGTATCAAAATATGAAGCATAAATTTCCACAATAATCTCTTGTAGATTCCACAAAATCTTCAACTTTATCCATAAGATCTAAAATAATGATATGAAGAAATAGATTGTAATAACTCACCTAATCCTTTTGGTGTAATACCACTCTTAGCGCGTGGATTCACGACCCAATAATAATATTTGAGCGTATGAACGGTTTGTAAAACAGTACTAACACGACGTACGTTGCTATAAATCTGTGTATCACTTAAAAATTCAGTTGCTAAGTAGGAATAAAGGCGTGCTTGAACATTTGCTGGTGTATAGATCCATAATGCTGGATTGAAGAGAACATGATCGAGCAACTGCCATGTTAAGAATGAGAAACAAAATAACTTCATATTAATCGTTGATTAAATGTCTGTCCTGCTACAAGCCTGATTGTTTAATTTTATTTTTATTTATTTTTTTTTGTCAATTTTTTTAAGAAAAAATTTATTTTGACAAATTTGAAAAACGGAATTTTTAAAAATGACACAGGCATGCAGCAAGAATAAAATTCAAAATGCAAAAATATAACTATTATAACAAGACATTGAGAATCTAGAAAGTAAATTTCATTCCAGAAAGTTTTGAGATGCAGATTTTACGGACAGAGATGATGATGTTGAAAAAACTTTTTTAATTTGAAATTGCGAATTTTTTAAGTTTTGAACTTTAATTTTAAATTTGCTTTAACTTTGAATCTTTAAATTTTTTAAAATTTAAATTCAAAAATTAGAACTTCACAAAAGCTTTAAATTGAAAACTTAAAAGTTTCTCTTTCAAATCAAAATTCCAATTTTTTCATCATACATTGTCAGTCAGCTTCAATAACAAAAGATTTAACTTTTATAAATGTTTATTTCATGCTTTGTAATTTAAACAACAAAATCAAATTAAATTTCTTCCAAAAAAACTCGCAAGAAGAAATTTCACAAATAAAGAAGATCAAATACGCAACCGTTTAAGCTTCAAACTTCCATAAAAGTATGTCATAATTTTTTTTAATTTTCAAAAGAAATTTGAGGCGAAAATTTTTTCTTTTAATTTACGAAAGAGAGAGAGAGAGAAAAAAGAAGAAATGACTCGAAATTTTCTTCATCTTGTAGGTTTTCAAATGCTTATTTTGTGTGTGATTACGAATTCATGTGCCACAGAAATTCGAAAAGATTACAAATTCTTCTTAAATTAATAATAAGAATTGTTTTGCAGCCAAAACCACCTGAAACCGTGATTAAAATCTAATAAATAACAATGCAGCGATGTTGGCATCTCGTGGGTATTATTAATGTCGAAGTAATGAATTAGTATGCTTGTTATGCTGCTTTTGTCATTAAAAATCTGAAAATAAGCTTCAGGGGGATACTTTTATGATCATGGATTTTTAAAGAAATTTTAATAAGTAGAAAGAGGACATGGATATTCACATAATGAGTGATGTATGTTTAAAGTAGGTATTTGAGGGTCCTAAAATAAAAGACTTTTCAGCGTCCTTTTGTGGCATTTAAATCCTAAATCCATCACATTTGCATACACTATAGACTTCATAAAATTAAACTAAACCTCAATACTTTAAATTTGCATTGCATAATAGGGTCACAAATGTCAAAGACCGTTCAAGATTGAAATTTATAAATCAAACTCTTCAACGACACCTTTTGCCTTTATTCACAAATCTCAGTTCACATTTACAACAAGTTATTACTAAAAGCCGTAGAAAAAACTTTAATTGAAACTTTTTTAAACCATACCTTTGCAAAACAATATAAACACGTAAATGCATCTGAGACAAACAAGTGTACAAGAATTTATTCCATTTAAGCATTTTTTTCTCTCTCTTTTCCGTAAATTGTGAAGCATTTTCCCCAACAAAATGCATACAGAACAGTAAAATATAAAATTACAAAGCTCCTTCATGTAACAAATGAGGAACAATGACAAAATTTTCCTCTCATATTTGTTACTTATTTCAGTAATAAATACACTTAAAAAAATTGTATGCATGAAAACACATGTTCGTTCTTGTTTTATTCACCAAATGAATAGAAAAATAAATACGAATGCATATTTTTTTTAATAAAGAAAATGAAAAATTTCATGCAACGAGATAGAAAAGAAACTTTTTCATTCCGACCACTAAAAACAGTACTCAAACACAGAACTAATTTCCTTAATTGGAAATTTTTACTCAAATTGAAATTAAAAAGTTTTTTGTTGAAAAAAATATCATTTGGATTTGAATAAAAAAATATTAATTATATTTGAATGTACGTTTAAAGGAATAAAGAACATGAAATTAGAAAATTGGTTTAATTAAACCAGCTATCGTTAAACAGTTATAATAATAATAATAATTAGAAGAAGAAACTCATTTTTTGAAACTATTTTTTTGTGAAGTTTGTGTGGGTTAATTAAGAAAAATATAGTTTTAATCGTTTATTGAAATTGATATTGCTTTTAAATATTTTAATGGTTGTATAAAATCTTTGAAGTCCATGAAAACTAGCTTTATGTTGAGCAAATAATCTTTTTTGATGCTGATTCTTTATGATTATTATGAAAATGATCATTATTTGAACTTAGAATGGTCAAACTTTATTTTATTTGTCAATGTAGTCACGAATCTTCAAGTATCCTTACTCATGAGACTTAGTATTACAAATAAAGTGAATAAATCCACAAACTTCACAAAAACAAATCAAAATGATTCGGATAAATTCATCAATAGATAGAATTACAACAGAACTAAACACTGTTCCTTAGTCAAGAGGATATTTCATTCACTAGTGACTAAATGTTACTTCCATATCATATATTTTATGTAGATTCACTAAGAATAACGTATATTTCTCTTTATTTATATTTCTCTATATTCAATTAATAATAAATAATAGTCATCAGACACAAAAATACATACCTGCTTAAGCAAAAGATCACTATTTGCTGATAAGCATGTGACCAGATATTTCGTCAAGCTCAAAAATGATCCAAGTACATCAGGTGTTAAATGATCTCGTGATGATCTTTGTAACATGAATGAAATCACCAGAAATCCACGATTTTGTATCATATGCTGTTGTACAGTCTGCGATGTCTCAACAAGCTCACAAATAAATCCTAATAGCTTTGCACACAATGTCGGATCTTTCTTGACATCTATGCCTTCATATGGCATATCAAGTTGTGAGAAGAGTGGAAATAGCACTTGAATACCACCGATGGAATTTAATGTCGAGTGTATGGAATGTGTTACCACAGCTTTAACATCCTGTCATAATGAACAAAAAAAATATATATGAAATGAGTTTAATGTGGAATGGTACAAAGGGATGCAGAAGATAATAGTGGAAGAAAAAATATTAAAGTGTTGATGGAAAGAAAATTTAAGGCGACAAGAGAGATTTTTCATTGCTTCAAGCTTTATCTCTGCTTTATCATAATCACTTGAGATATGTGTGAGACATAAACACATACTCAAGGTTTAGAAAAAAAAATATTCGAGATATGAATTGAGGATGAGATATTTTAAAGTGTTAATATGTCGATTTTCATATCTTTAAAGCATGAGAATTTAAAATTTAAGTTTGTTGACATTTAACGTGACACATAAGATAATAGATTGATTTGGAAAATCCAGCTTTAAGCTCAAACTTGGTAAAAGTTAAAAGGTTTCTAAACTCTAAAACAGACTGAGTTACTTTATACTTGATTTTGATTTTATTGAGTCTTTAAATGGTCTTGACTATTAATAAGACACAAGCATTTACTTTAATAAAATTAAAAGCCGCATCTAGAAGAGAAGCTCATCAATTCAAATTCTTTGTTAAAATCTCAAATCAAGTTCCGATACTTGACCACATCTAACCAGCAAATCTAGCTCTAATGATTTAAGACACCATGTGTTCATTAAGAAAACATTGAAGATATAACTCAATAAACAATGTCTTCATTCATTAAACAAGATGCAAGTTCACAAAATTCTCAAGCATCAAAAATAGTATCCCTACAGTAACGCCTACAGCCACAAATCCTCAAAATTCAAAGAAATTAAAAATTCCCACAATTCTCCATTACGAAAAGTATGTATCACAAGCACATACCCACATAAACCAGACGTATCATGATTATAAATAATTGAGGATGAGAAATAAGGAATTGAGATAAAACTTACCTGCAACATTAGTGCATGAGGCGTATGCACAAAGTATGATACATTTCCCTTGGGTGCCGATTGCAGACACAATTGACCATCAGTTGCAACAGGATTATACATAAATACAATAGCATTCGATAGTTTGCCATCATAGAGCACCTATGAGAATCATCATGGAAGTGAATAAAAAGAAGAAAAAAATGTTATTTTAATAGATGGAAATATTTCGTCACATAACATGCTTAAAATTGCTAAGTAAGGATTTTAATTTGCAAATTTGCAGGCTATGTGTTATGTGTGAGATTGCATATTGATTATGGGGAGATTGAATGCTTTTGGATGAAGTTGATTCTCCAATGAGATATGTTGAAATGTAGCTTCAATTATGGTTGATACCAGAGGAGTGTTTAGGAGTGGTTTGGACTTGTATTTTATCTTAAACACAGCTCTCATCTATTTATAAAATAGACCGAAGCAGATGAAAGTTGACGACGAAAATTCAAATTTATTAAAGCTTCTATTAAACATAATCAAGATCAAAATTACTAAATCATCAAAAATTTACTCTATTTTACATTCAAATGCACACAAATTGATCAAAATAAATTGAAAAGCTTCCCTTTAAGTTCAAATTAATTTTAAATTTTATTATATTTTCAGATGAGCACAAATCACCCTTTCAGCAAAATTTCCAACCCAAACAACAAATATTCTTCTCATTGGAGATTAAAATTTAATTATGAAAATTGACCGAAAATATTTTTTACTGTGGTTGAAAATATGCTTTACTAAAATATATTGAAAAGCTAAATTAAATTATGAAAAGCTTTTTGAATAAAGAAAATTGGCGAATCAAACAAATCAGAACTCAAAATAATTTATATACAAAAAGAAAATGAAAGAATTCAATTTAAACAGTCTTATTAAAATATCCTTCAAATTTTCATCCATAATAAAACATCAAAGCTTCATGAGCATTTCAAATCCAAACAACTCAAAAGAATCACAAAAAATTATATCAGCAAATAAATTAGCCGGCTTTAGGCAAGAAGCTAATAATAATCGCAAATTTAAACACAAACAATCATGGATTTAACTTTATAATTGTTACCTTAATACAAAAAAAAGAAAGTTTACTGAACAATGAAATATAATTCTATACATATTTCCTCATACTATGCACAACAACAACAACAAACACAGACTGCTTACAAAACGTGACTTTAATCATTTTTAAAGGCTTTCAATTTACTTGATCGACATAATCAAACTTTACACTTTGAAAATTTCTTTTTAAAACTATTTTAAAAAGTTAACAAAAATTTCTTAATAGGATGAGGAAGTTGAGGAAACTTATGGAAAGGAAAAAGAGGTTATGAAGTAAGGAAACTTATGCAAAATATTCATTTAAAAGAATTCTTTCAGAAAATTTTTAAATGAGTCAGAAATTTAATTTCTTCGGAAAGAAAAAAAAATGAAAATGAAAAGGATTTTAAACAAAATGTCACGAATCATTACACTGAATACACATCGAGTTGTTAGAGATTCCAATTTTACTTATTGAAATTTTTTAAAATCAACTAAAAGAGTTTTGCTGCAGTTTGAAAAAAGGTTAAATTTTTCTTGGACAACTTAGTAAATTAACATAGAATTTCTTTTTTAAATTCACAAAAAAGCTAGTTTGGCGCCAAAAACAATTTTTTATCTTCAAAAGCGTAAAATTTTCAACAAAACTTTCTTGGAACCTCTAATATCACATTACACAGTACATTAAATTTCAAAACAATGCAAACTTTTAAATGGAAAAAGGTGACGTGGCAAAAAAAATCAGGACACATTTGTAAAGTAACAAAAACAAAGAAAAATATGAAAAGGGAAAAAAAAAATAAAAAATATAAAATTAAAATAAAAAAATAAACTGGCATGCTTACGGATGCAATATTAAAATCGTCGCAAACTAAATTAAAATTGCTATCATTGGCGTTGTTTGTATTGTTCCTAGCATCATCATTTCCATCTTGCGATGTTCTCTGTTCAACAATTTTATTTAAGGCTGTTGATGGAGTGAAACTCACCCTTTTATGATTATCTGGTAGATTCAAGTAGCATTCATTATCGAAACGGAACTGTGACTGTAAAAAAAGAAGAGAATGAAATAAAAGCGATACTGAAATATTAAATTCATCTCTCAGAATTTTAAGATAATATATGTGGAAATGTTCTGGTATCTTGAAGGAAATCAAGTTTACTTCTGCATTGCAAGAGAGCTTTTGGTCTTTCTAATTTTTGGCGCATTTTCTACCCTTATAGAAATTTATTCATAAATTTCTGCGCATTAATTCGTTATTTTAAGCAATATTATGTCTCAATAGTTTATTTGTGAAGAATTTGCAGAACTAGGGGGAAAGAATTTATTGTTTTTGTGGTCTAAGCTAGATAGGATGTCTTAAATTATCATCGTCAATTTCAGCTTCCTCTTTTTAAGATTTGAACTTTCATTTGCAATTTAAATACACTGAATTTGTAACCATATGACATGATTACAAATGTAAGTTGCACAAATAATCCTTTAGATCAAAAGGTTCGAATCCTTACAACCTAAACTATGCAAAAGTATCGTTGTCTTGTTGGAATATATTTATTTTTTGCTAGATTTATTAGCTTCTAATTTAATATTTATCTTCAATTTCATTTAAAATTTTCAAATTTTTATTTTAAATTCGCCTTTTGTAAATATTTTATCATAAATACGAAAATGACTTGCTAATATAATTATTAAATTCAAAAGTTTGAATCCTTACAAACTAAACCAAATAAATGTATCGTTATATTGTTGATGTATTCTTTATTTTTTAAACAAACCTAGTTTTTTTTATCAAATTCTTTACAAATTATATCTTTAAGCATTTAGCTGAATATTGAAGCTCTTCAGTTTTAAATGCTCAATCTCCTTTCAGCTTTCCAAAAAAAATATATTTAAATCCAACAAAATCACTCTAAGAACTTCCTTCCGTCTCACAATATTCTCTCATTTTTTCCCACAGTTTTAATTTATATTTATATCATTTTCATCCTAATATTAAAAGTGTCAGAAACAAACAAGAAAGTCAGAAGTTGAAAAATAACAACAAGGAAGCAAAAAAAGAGAGCAAAAAGAGCTCAAATATAGCCGTCAGCTACAAAACTGTTTCTATTCTTCCTCTATTTCCTTCTCATATCGTATTCTGTATAAGGCACATGACTCGTATGGATGAGAAATAATAAAAACATGAAAATAAATTTTCTTTTTCATGCTGCCTGTGCAAAAGAGCAGAAAACTTAGGATGATGATGATGATGGTTGAACTAAAGCGACCTTCTTGTTTTTTTTTTTTATATTATTGTGTATTACTATTACTACTGCCACAACTAGTTTTCTCTATTCTTCCATTTTACTTGTGAGATAAATGACATCCTATATACATTTTTTTTCCATCTCCATCCATGTGCAATTTCTGTTCTTAGATAATTCTTTTTTTTTTGCTCTTTGTTGTTTTGAGCTCGGCATTATGAGGCGAAATAATAAGTGGGAAGTACCATTATGTACGATGAATGTGCTTTATTTTTGTATGGTACTGTACTATTTACAAAGACATTTATTGTGACAGAAACAACTTCTTTGTTTTGACATTGCCTTAATGTAGTTTTGTTTTTTTTTTCATTCCTTTTGTACCACTCGTTGTTTTTACATCTCTACAGTGATGCCACTGCCGCTGTTGTGTGTGGCAAAGAAGAATGAAAAGTTTTAACATTTCTACTTCCCTTTTGAGCTTTTTGCCCTTACTATTGCTAGTCGTGTGCACGTTTTTTGTGTATTTTGTAATATAATCATCATGTCATTTAAGCGTTTAGGGAAGGAGCAAGTGGATAGGTCCATTAAATGTAAATTATTCTAGCGCATTTGTTAGAAAAAGTTACTTCATGTTGTCGTCACTTCCTAAGATTTTATTGTTTAGAGAGGTTCTGTTTAATGTTTTTTGTCAACACGCTGTGATTTATGGAGATATTTCGGAGCTTCTTAAACAAATTAGCCGTTTAAGTATAAGAAGAACTGCACTTGATTTTCAAAATGAAGAAACCAATCAAACTTTGACTTAAAATCATTCTTAATTACCATAATCCTTCAAGATCCTAAACATCATAAAATTCAATCAAATTCAACTTACCTTATAACCAGGACCAAGTCGATGCATGGCACAAATTTGTTGTGTTGTTAGTGATTCACTGAATAAATAAATTGCTGCCATTTGACCACAGAATACTCGTTCCTCATCTAGCTCTGGCGTTGCTCCAATGTAGCACTTATCAAATGGCTTTTGTTGCAAAAATGAAAGATGAGAGAATATTAATTAAAAGTAATTAAAGAATTTTTCTTGTGAGTGTACGAGAATCGCTTGCGAGAAAATAAAAAGGCAAATGTTCATTAAATGTCCTAAGAGTCGTTTGGTAATGATGTTAACTTTTGAATGAGAGTTCGGTCCTGAACTACATCAAATTTAAACAATTAAGCGATGAAAGTTATTTAAAGTCATTAAAAAAAAAGTTGCAGCTTAAAATGCTCTGATCCAGGTTGCAAGATTAAAGAATTGACAACAGACACTGCAGTTGTGAGATTTGAAACTCAGTACGGATGACACTAATCCTACTAAATCACAAAGTATGAGCAACAGAATACATGGAGTATTAAAACCAATTGTTACCCTAGACATCATTTATAAACGACCCCACTACTACTATTGTAAGTTCTATCATTGTCGTCAACATCAATAGAACATAATTTCATTTACCATAGAGAATTATGCCCTCGATCTTCAACGCTATTTCGGTTCCTTTTGTTCTTAATTTACAATATTACTAGCACTTATAAAGTAAAGCTTTTTTTCGGTTCCATTTTATCATCTTTGTCTATTAATAACGACGAATAATGAGAATAAAAGGCATGATGATGAAGAAAAGTCAAAAAGGCATGAAAAATATTTTCCATTTAATGAGTTTAAGAGAGATGCTTTTTCATTCTCGGTGCTTCTATCTTTCCTTTTGCATTTTCGACGTCATAAAAACATTTCTTCTTTTTCCTATTTGTGCCTTTTTATTTAGGAAAGCATTTGACTAAATGTTTGGCCTCTGGGGAAAGATGTAAAATAATAGATGAGAGAAGGAACTTTGATTTCATCTTTTCCCCTGTGTAAATTTTAGCGTAAATAGGAAATGAGATTGTTTTCGTTGCGACTGACTGACTGCATGAATGATAAACTCACTGATTTACAGGTTGATAAGAAGCTTTGAAATGAAAATCATATCGGATTTGACTTTTAGACAGCTGTAATGTCATTTAGGGTGAATGTTGGGCAGATGATAGTGACTGTCAGTCGTTTTAACTTTATTATCTGAGTTCGAGCTGTTTACTATTTAAAATGGGGTCGAAATGAGAGTTTTGGCTAGTAACAACTTCAATTCTTGTTCCAGACAGACTATCCAACAGCATGACATAATTTTTTCACAAATAATGATGCTTCATTGCCACTAAGTCCCACACCAACTCTAACTTTTCAACTTTCATCTCGCTTAAACTTTGTTTCCCATCTCGATTTCCAGTTGAATGTCTCAAATGTAATTTTATGAATCTAATCTATACCATACCAGACTTTTACGTTTGTTCATACATAAATCATGAGTCACACCGGATGTTTTGTTACTTACACATTACATAAGTTCAAACCTTAAACGTTTTTCTACAATTTTTCATTCCTTTCAATTTCTTTTTGCTCATTTCATTCCAATTTCTCGCATCGTCCCTTATGTCGTTTACAATTGACCTGCTTAGATAGTTATCTAACGATAGATTATTGAAGGATGGACATTGAAATTGGACACACATGTACGGATATGTGGAATGAAATTCTATAAAATATGTATGGAATATATTGGAGAAAATTGAATCGATCCTAGTTGTGAGGAAAGACATTTTATTCTATTTTTTTGATTTCCTTTTCGTATCTGATATTAGTTTTCATGCTTTTGAAGTTCAAATACATGTTAAATAACATTTTAATACACAATTCCCTTTTCGTTTGTAATATCCATGCATAGAGTGAACTAGGGGATTGTATTCGTTTAAAAAAGATGGGAAATTCTTAGGTCCTAATAGAAAATACTTTAAATTCTTGGATCTAGACATATTTGAGAATTTTCAGAGAATGGAGTCTAAAGTGCTGTGGTCCGTGCTGAGAAACGGAGGGGATTTTGTCAGTATTAAGTTTGTATTATGATAATGCTAATGAAGTCCAATGTTCCTATACGCAGATCATGAGACAGAGCATAACAAAGGTGTTAGGATCCCATTCGAGATTGACTACTAAAGTGAAAACAAAAATCTGACAGGATTAACTGAACCATATAGAGAAGAACCCCAGCAGATATAACGCGACAAGCTGTTTTCTGGAATATCGCCGGATAGGCGAAAACTTGGTAAACCTAGTGCTACTTGGCAATCGTCTTTTCGTAAAGAAGCGGCTCAGCAGGGCTATCAACTCAGTGAGCTTACGGCATTAGCTAGCAATCGAGTTAGATTCAAAAGTTTCGTAAACTCCCTACATTTCACAGTGTCATCATCATATAGAGAAAAGTCTGAGGTTGTTAACTATTTATTGGTGAGTTTGCTAGTAGACAAAAAATGAGGATGTGGTTTAATCAGTTGAGATTTGCTAATGAATATCAAGACTTTCTCGATTGTAATCATTCAGGTTTGATTCTTATTAATGTTGAATTTTATGAGATTCTTTATATTAAAACCGAGATTTGATGGATGACTTGAAATGAGTACCTTTGCAACACAACTTTAACGAACCCAATATCAGGATTGTAGCAGAAATTGACAATTATATGTGAGCCCAAAAAAAACTTTTATGTTATGACTTTTGAGCTTACATCATTATAAGACTACAAGATTTAAAGAACAGAACTATTTACTTCTTATTTGTTGACAGATCCTCTTCAATTTCCCTTTTCATCATAAAATACTCAAAGGAAGTGAAAAATATCTGAATGAGGATAAATACGTACAAGCATGATGAAAAGAAGAACTTTTCAATTTCAAACAAACTTTTTATCCTCTCTGTTGCTACTTCAAAATTCTCATGAGCTTTTTCACTAAACTTACTAGCATGAATTTCGTTCATGAAAAAAAAGAAAATTACATTTATTCCAGCATTTAAATTTAATCAAGTTCTCTCTTTTTTATGACATGCGAGAGACGAAAAACTTTTTTTTTTACATCAACAAAAATTAAGAATTTCTTCAAGCAATTCTCGTCTCCATCGTACTGTGAATATATATTATATAATTAAATGTTCAAACTTACATCATTTGTTGACACAAACCACGCCATTTCCGTACTTGATGCTAATTGTCCATTTACCAGGCACTTGATTTCACTTTTTGTCCAACGATTATAAATGTATACAATTGCTATCATATACCACTGTTGGGGATATTAAAAAAAAGTAAGAAATGTCATTAAAAAATAGCTTCAAGGGTTGAAAAATGTAAATAATAAGAGGATGAAAGAGTAATTAGATGAAATTAATTCAAGCATAATATTAACATTAAAAGCAAGGCTTCTTACTAGGAAGGAAACTACTAGGAATTAATAAGATTAACAATTTTTGATGGTTGAATTTACGTAGAAAATTTATAATGAGAAATATTTTTGGTACGAATTTTTTGTAGGTTTAATGTTTTGGAAGTAATTGTGAAAATGTTAATTTTGACTGAATTAGATAAGAAATAAATGAGTTGGTTGACATTATAAGGAGATTCGAGAAGTAAAAATTATGAAAATTAACGTTTTAAGTGTTCATCAGCTAAGAAATATTGAAGATTTGTCAATTTCATGAATGACTCAAGTTTCAGGTGACTCTCCAAATGCAAAAAGGTTCAAATAATATTGTAATAGAAAATTCAGAACCAACAAAAAAAAATGTAGCTGCATTTGTACCGCAAAAATTCAACTCAAAGACTTTCCAAAGGTAAAGCATGGAGAGGGTCCAGTCTTTTGAGCTGGAGACAAATTAGAACAGAATCTATTATACCACACCCTTTAGACCTACAGTTTATAGTGCAATCCGATAATCCTGCAATGAAATCATCCAGATGCTAGTATACCTAGCAAAAGAGACACGTTTTGTGCCGAAGACCTCAAAACTACACTAAACACAAGAACCAAACTTCGTATCTAGAACGGTAAAATTGAAAAAGAGCTTCTAAAACTTGACAACGGCACCCAACAACAACGGAATAACCCCCATCCACAAACACGATGATCCCTTTTACGATACTAAAGATTCATCCCTCAAAAAAGCAATGCATAAACTTTACAATCAAGTGAAACGACCACTTAAAATTGTGAAAATAATCTTATTTTAATGATAGATCCATAATTACAATCATTATTTCCATCCCAAAAGAACTAAAAGGCATTCAGAAATTTTGAATAATTACAAATTAGTCATTAAAAATTAAGGCTTTGGAAAAATAAAGAACTTGACATTGACCAAAGTAATGAAGATTAAATTTTGAATGATTATTATTAATTCAATTGGGAAAAATAAATCTTTTAATCCTTTTATTAAAGATGACTCAGCCTTCTTTGGATTTTACATTTTATTCATTTTTGGAAAAGCGAGAATTTCATGATAATTTATAGTCTAGTCTGGTTATTTTTGAATAATGATAGAATTTGAGAATACCGAATCCCTTATTTTGACTTTAATGTGTGCTTGTTCCTTCTATCTTTACTCTATAATAATAATCTGATATCTACAAACTTTAAAATTTCAAATCCATTCTATTCAATCCAACAAGTAAACCAAAAACTCTTTCCGGTCAATAAGAAAATTAACAAAGATTCCAAATGCTTTTACATGTGATCCTTATTGAAGACTCATTCATTTATCAAGAGTATTTTAACCCAACATAAAGGGAAACAAATCTCTTACATCACATACAATTTTATATGTATTCAAAACAAGTCTCGGCTTACACAATTTTCACTTACATGCTTGTCATACGAGAAGGATAAATTTTATGTACAATGAGGAGAAAATGAAGCACATATTGAGTCTGATATGAAACATGTTTGTAAAAAAATACACAACATGATGGTACAAACAAAGAGCAAACGAGAGGAAGTCCAATTTCATAAAGGGAAGAAAAATATATAAAAGTCGACATTCCCTTTCATGTTTTTAGATCTTCATAAAAATTTAAATCAGAAAGGAAAGGAGACAAAGAGAAAGAGAGAGTTGAAAGTTTTATAAGCGTTGAGCCACGTATCCTGAGTGGAATTGTAAATTCTTTATGCAAATACACAGAACAACCAGAAATCCACAAAATAATTGCAAAAGGAGATGTTGGTAATTGACATGCAATGGCGCATTTTAAAGCGAATTCTGTGGATTTAATGAATAAGAGAAATGTGGATGCAGCAATTAAGTTTGGTATTGGTGGCTAGTGTTGTTCAATTGTGGTTGTTTTGAATAGTCATTGATGAGTCAAAGTCTAATGATAAAAAAATATACATATGCTTCAGAATCTTTTACCGAATCTTACTATGTGCCTTTTTTCAAAACATCTGTACGCATTTTAGTTGAAAGAATAAATGTCATATAATAAAGAGCAGGTAAAAAGTATTTAATAAAGGAATACAAGTTGTATGGAGGGTTCTTAAGAGTCACACATTTTTATAATTTTAAAAAAGGTAATGAAAATGTAACAGTCGGATAGTCGCATTTTGCATAGTGGTGCAAAATTTGTCGAAAACTATTCCTTTAAAGTTTATTAGAAATTAGCCGTAATTGTATATTATCTATGAAAATATCTGCAGTTTTGAGATTCTAATCCTACTTAATGAAGTTTCGAATGGCACAAGTCGGTTAATCGAATAGAAATCCGGTGCTTAGCCGGCATGTAGCTGGCTTCAATTTAAATCCAGCACCATGCAAGAGTCACACAAGTTTGGTGCCTGATTTCTAATCGATTACCCGACTAGTGTCATTCGAGAGTGTTTTTTATTTTCATCATCTATAAATTATCAAAAAAAAATCCTAATAACTTTCTCTTCATACCAAAACAGACAAACTGTTGTTAAACTTCCCCAAAATATGTAAAACTTTTTCATCCTCAAAAACCACCAACTCCCCAAAAAATATACGTCCTCTATATTATGTATGAGTCATCAACACAGAGATAAAAACAACAGCATGAAAGACATACGGTAAAAGCATACGTATCTACATCTACATTTAATAGTATTAAAAAAAAAAATCATGTGAGATTGCTACAAAAGAGAATGAAACTTAATCAGAAAAAATTAGATTTACATACCTTTCTGGGTTGAAACTCATATTTGACACAATGTTGAAAACCTTTGCCTTTAACTTTCATCGACGTCAGTACAAGACAATTTCCAACAAAATGTGCAGTATAACCAACACCTTTTGATGTTTTAAAGCTATATGTGGGAAGAAAGAGAAAAAAATGGTCAATTTTATGAGATTAATGTAGCATGCTAAGTGTGATAAAGTGACGTTGTTGGAAATTCTAATATGATGAATATTTATTTCTATCCATATATCTAACTTAATTTTGTAGGATAAAGGCAATATGAGAGTGAGATATAAAGCTAGATGTGTTCATTATTATGCCAGAGATTAGAGAGTTGTTACACTTTTTTCAGAGAATAATGTTCGTCCTCATGGTAGAGATTAAGAAGAACTTTTTTATGATCTCCTTGTGCTGCTTTTATGCTATCAAAATGAATTTTTTGAGCAAAAATTTTCATGATTATTAATTTTGCAACTTTGTTGAATGGATAATATGATATTTCGGTTCTGTTATGAGATGTAGCAGCAATAATTGTAAAACAAGAGTTTTTAAAGATTTTCATCGGATTTGACAGAATTTAACAAAGGATCTTCTACAGAATTTTAAGAAATTCTGATTTTTGGCTACATTCTATTTCGCGTTCAAAGAAAACGTTTGTATCGGTGAATATTTATTTTTTGTTACAAATTTCAGCACGAGTAACTCATTAAATAGAAATATGAGACTTCAAAAAACATTGATTATTTGTCAAAACATGCGAATTCTATTTCATCTATTTATAAAATTCGTTGAGTTCGTATGCCTGTTATTACATTTTATATAAAAAAAAAACGAGAGTTTCTCTTTAAATTCAAATTCAAACTTCAAAGTATTCCAATTCACTGAGCTTCTTATCAATAGAAAATGAAATTTTTCCTTTATAGTTCGATAAGAAATTCCAAATGCCTAAAAGACAATTTCTTCTATTCATCCATTTGAACTATTTCGTAGATCTGTATCTGTGGCAATAAAAATTTAAAATAAACAGAATGGAAATCATTGCTGAAGCCAATGAATGCTAAATTAAGCAATTTCAATATAGTTGTGTAGTTATCATCCTAAGAAATTTGGTACTGAAAATTTGGTGAAGATGAACAAACTTTAAAGGTTTTTCTATGGCTGATATAAACTAACGTAGCTGTATCTGGTAAACTCTAAATCAAGCTCAGACATGGTTGAATATATCATGCAATGAACTATGGAGACATTGGTTCGGTTCCCTCTGAAAGATCCTTTTAATAAAAATTCATTTGAAATTAAATTTTTGGAGCCTCCATTTAATTTGGTTAAATATATGACTAAGTCAGAGCAACTTTCAATGTACTAGATCATTGACTTAAAGGTATCTTCAAAACAAATGCTTTCCTAACAATATCCACTATATTCCCAACTGTGTTTCCAACCAGCATTTAAATAATGACAACAAATATACATCTAAACAAGAGCCATAGAGAAGAATGTATCTTCAATATTGATAGAAATACAATAAATGTATCCAATATTTATTATTATAGATATAAGAAAAAAGGATTCATTTTCCATTTTCATAAGCATACACATACGTATAGCCAAGTCGGAGAAGAAGAAAAAAAAATCTCATTAGGAATAAATAAATTGGAAAATATTTATTTGCGGCAAGATTTGTGCAATAACAAGCACAAAATCTCAGAAGTAGTAGACATATCCGAAAAAAAAGAAAAATTGGAGAAGAAACTATTATGAACGCATAAATAGACAAGATCGAATAAGAATATATATTTTTCATATTATTCAATGTCCCCAAAGGATTCTTATTTTTTTTTCGGGTCGAGGCTTGAAGGAAAACGAAGTCAAAGGAAACGAAATAAAAGATTCGAATATATTTTTTTTTATGTACGGAGAAAATGAGCTTACGAGAATGGAAGAAAGAGTCCTTTTTTGACGTTCACTAAATGCGCTTATGTATGTGTAAAATCTTAAATGTAACAGAAAAATCCTTTTCAAAGTCATCAGTGCGATGGCATTAAAGGAGCTTGTTCGTCATTAATATTGAGCATTTACTTTATTTCATCGGAATAAAGATCTGAAGAAACAAAATAAAAAGGATTTTTTTTAAATAATTAACGAGCCATTTTGTGACATGAAATTTTGGGAATTAGGATTGTCTGGTTGGTGATATGCTGTCTTTAAGGAGACATTCATATTGAAACGTTTTGGACTCCATCTTACGATTTTAGCGTGAACATGCACTTTACTACGGATTCTTTCAAGCAGTGGCATAGCCAAAGCTTACAAACTCAAGATTTCAACTCCAAACTCATCTCAATACATCCAAAAATTCTCACAATATCCACTAAAATGACAAAACCCCAAAATGACAAAATGCGTTTCAATTCCTAACCTACAGCAACATCATCGCTCTCCTTTTTTATTTCATATTTTTCTACTCAAGCGATGCAATAAATTAAATTTCATAGCTGAAGAAAATGAAATATATTGGAAGGTTCAACAGTATAACTTCAAATCTCTAAAGACAGCAACCAGAGAGTGAATAGAGATTGGCGTGGAAAAGGTAAGAAATAAGAAAGTAAAAACATCAAATCATATTAAAGATTTTTCTTTTCTTTGCTTTGCTCTTGTCGATGCTTTACTTTCGAGTTTCTTTTGGGACAGCTTGAGATGTGCAGTTTGGGGATATTTAAAGGTTGTTGAAGGTACAACAAATGTTATGGCTATGTTAAGAGCGGTTTTATAGGTAATTTAAAGAATTCAGGACGTCAAATTTTATGTTTATTGAATAGTTAAGAATTTGTTCAATGTAAAGCACCTAAATGATCACTAATATAACCTATTTCCTTATAATAATCACCCAGAAACTGCGCTTTCTGCATCAACTCCATCAAATCTTCTCAAACCATTAATCTTTTTCATCTTTTTGCATTACCTTTTTATATGCTTGATATTTTGCACCATGAAAAAGAAGAAAAGCGAAAGAAACAGAAATGGGACAATAAAAGGGCAATAAGTAAATTGGATTTCTGAGGGAGACGTTTATATCTTCTGTCTTGTTTTTCTGCAAGAACAAAAAAAATGTGTTTTCTTTTTTTTGTGTTCATCTTTCCATCGCATTTCTGTTTATGGGTTTTTATATATATATTTTTTTTTAGAAAAAAAGGAAGAAAAGCTTTTGAGTTAATAAGAAGAAATGTGTGGAATAAATGTAATACATAATGTCTTTCCTGTTTGTTTGCGCGTTTTCTTGTTTGTTGTTAGTCAAACGATAAAAAAATATATAAATGATGAAAAATTTTGTATTTTTTTTTTGTTGTCAGCATCTCTAAAGGTATTTTTGCTTTTTGTTTGTGAAAAGAATTCTTTTGCCTCTGTTTAGCTTGTGTAGTATCTTAATAAAAATTTATATAATATTCCACAAAATTGAAGAGATGAGGAAGACAAGAAAAACGGAGAAGAAAAGTTTTTCTAGATGAAGAAATTTGCTAAATAAATTCATTTTTGGAGATGAAATTTTTTTGTGTTAATAACAATAAAAAATTTGTTAAATTTTTTTTTGAAATATTTTGATTTGATTTGAATCTTGTGCAAAACTGTTAAGATGGAATGAATTCTTATGGGGCCGTTCACTTATGACGTCTGACATTTAGGGGGGAGGGGGTCTAGGATTTTGTGACAGTTCAAACAATGGAAATTTTTCTATAGAATTTTTGTGACAGAGGGGGGGAGGGGGGTCAAAAAATCAGGTTTATTGATGGACGTCATAAGTGAACGACCCCAGTTTAATTTCAGAAATTTAAAAATTATGGAAGCTTCTTTAAGATTTCACAGTTCTGGTAAGTTAAAGAAAGATTTATAGAAAATTTTGAACTTAGGGCGAGTTTAATTTTAAATTTTAACTTTAATGGTTTTCGAAATTGGATTTGAGTAATACAATAAATATCTAAAAATAACCATTGAATAATTTAATAATACAATTTCATATTATCTGCCATAATAATGTTTAAAATCTACATCAAATATCATCCCAACACGTCACGTCATCGACGATCATCATCAATAAATAAATATTAACATTAATCAATAGAAAAATGATACTTACCAATATAAATAAGGTTTCTCCCGCTCAATGTTCACTGAATTTATTGGATCTAAGCGAAACCATGTGGTAAATGTAAATCCATTTTCATACGGCCACTTTGCTAATGGTGGTAAGACGACAGCCTATATATTTTTTTGGAGTAAAAAACCCCATCGGAGCAAGAATAAAAAAAAAAAATAAAGAAAATGTATAAAAGGAAATAAGAAATAATTTAATATTTCAGTTATCATCATCATCATCAGTGAAGCTTTTTTTCCGGATGATAAAATCGATAATTACAATGGAGGAGTATGATGAAAAAAAGATGGAATCGAGATAAAAGCAATAGCATCAAAAAAAGAGGAAGGAAGGAAGTATCTGATGAATATTGATGAACAAATTATTGATAAATGAAATTATCTTCCGACAGCATAAATTTCAAATATTTTTTTTTCTTTCTCGCCCTATTGCTCGATTGATTTGAAGCATATCCAACAACTAAATCTAGTCAAATACAATCAACATTTCTTTATTGCTATGGTTTTTTTATTCTTAAACAAATAATCTTCAATCTCCTTGTTCCGCTCATAAAAAACAAATATTAAGAGGCCGTAGCAAGGTCATTGTGATGAGATAAAATTGAATTTTTCATAAAAGAATCAACAATCATCACAAAGTTTGGTGAATATGTTTGCGTTAACGGCTTAATCTAATAAATTTCATACGTTCATATCTTTGATTTTAACCGGCTTTTTAATGGGAATCACACCCACAACATGACAAAAAATCTCCTTTTTCTGGTTTACCACTGTGCCATAGATATCGCAAGTTTCAAACTGTTCCAAAACTTTTTGTATTAGTATTCCAGCTATAAACCTTTGTTCTCACTTAAATGGAGAGTATCACGTGTTTTTTCCGGATCTAAATTACTAATTTTTTGTACTGACTTCCTAGAATTCAGGTCTACTTCACTTCTTTGTCAGACCAAAAATAATTCAAACCCACAAATTATTCCGTAGAACAATGAAACCTTAAATTTCTAAAAATACTCTTCCTAAGTGCTTCTCCCAAAGCACATATCCTATCCACTTGATACATTAACTTGACATTCGCTCCATGCCCCTTTATCAACATCATACTCATCAAGTGTAATTGGATTTATTAAAAAAAATAATATTATTCATTTTCATTAAAATATTAATGGCACTTATGAAAAATCACTGCATGTGTTAAGTGAAAAACTTTTGAATGATTTCAAGTATTTGACATTTGATCTTTCTATTCTTACAAGCCATTAATAAATAATATTGCTTTCATCATCACGATCACTCTCGTCTTTTACTTTCATCGTTTTGTGCTTATAAAAAAGTACTTCTTTTTCTCTCTTCATGTTAAAAGCTCTGCATCGTCATTGAAGGATGTATGAATGTATGTAAATGTGTCTCGTGTATGATGACGATGACGCTTAAGGATATGACTAAAAAAATTATAGCGAAAGTACACTTTTTTCGTCATTATTCCATCCACTTGTCATTCATCATGCATACATTACACTGTTCTTCAAACAGACATTAGCATCGTCATCTTCATGTTAAGCGCTTGCCACAGTGCCTGTATTTATTTAATAAACTTTTCTTTATATTCATCTCCAAAGACATTATAGACAACTTGTCTATGTATTTGTAATTCTTTTGTATGATGTTTTTGTGTGTATTTGTCGTATTTGTATAAAATATTAATATTAATGAACTTTACATTGAATGAATCTTTATTCCATCATTGTTTATCTTCTTTCCTATATGTACATACATTCATAACTGTATACCGTGGATGGAAAATGTAAAGCACCACCGTTTTTTTTTGTGTGGCACAAGAACGTTGAAAAGGAAATGCAAAATCATCATTCATTATCTTTAGCATAATTTTTTGGCATGTAAAATGTGGGCGGATTTACATTGTTCGGCTGAATTGATATACGGGACGAGAGATGTTAAACGAAAATTTAAAGGTTTTTCATTAAATATGCAAGCTTGATTTAAAAAATGATGAATAGATAAAAAGTACTCATTTAAAATTAAGATTACGATGTAACGTTTTTTCAAAATTTGAATAATTTATGCTTTTTTGCATCATTCTGTGTATTTAAACAAGATGCGGAACGAGAAAGGTTTCATACTAGATCAACCTCAACTCAAAATTCGTTCCTTACTCTTTAGATTTTGCCACAGTTATGCATATGTCTAATAAGCCAATTTAAGCACCACAACCAAAAATCAACAAATAAAAACTAGTCAAACATCCAAAAATCACTAACCACATCATTCAAACTTCATCAACCCATAGAAACACAACTAATGCTTCCTATTTATCACATAAATTATACGTCAAGCGTCGAGATGATAAAGGATAAACAATGGGACATAAATTCTCAATTGTCATCCAACTCTTATGAATTTTCATCATTCACTTCCACATTTTCTCCACTTTCTATTCATTATTATTATTATGTATGTACAAATTTTACTTCACTGAATGATAAATCAAATTGAAACATTACTAATTAATTCATACGATTTTCTTACCGATCCTTTTCGTCCTGGAAAGCTAAAGAAGACGTCGGGACCATTACGATGTGGCATCTGACGTAAGACATTCAAAAGTTTTGCTGAATGTCGTGGCTGTGTAGAGAAAAATAAAAGTTTTTTCATTGTTGATTGTTAGAGAATAGAAAACAAGTAAGAGAATATAGAAAATTAGTAAGGCATACATCATGCATGTATGTTTATTTATATTATTATATATTGTGGATAGAAAAAGCAGCATAATCATCACGCAACCATGACAAACATACTATTTACAGCATTAATTTGAAGAATATATTCATTTTCTGCCAAGATTATTGCGGTGAATAGAAGAAAATGGAAATATAAATATGGTAAAAAAAGGAGAGGCTTTCATGACATGAAAAGTATGTAGAATAAAAAAATACTTTATAAAAAAAAACTTTTTAAAAAACTACGTTTTTCGCGTAGACTAAAAAGTAGAAAATAACTTTTATTCTTGGTTGTAAAGAATTTGGTTTTAAATTTTCAGATTATATATAATAAATTTTTATATCCCAGTCAATATTGTTCACAAAGTTTCGAATAAGTGCACTTTGATCTTATCGTATAACTCAACAACTTAAAAACGTGGGCGCATTAATTTAAGTTTATCATAAAGTATTGATTTCACATAAACTTATTTCTCCTCTTATAATGCGCCCACGTTTTTAAGTTGTTGAGTTATACGATAAGATCAAAGTGCACTTATTCGAAACTTTGTGAACAATATTGACTAGGATATAAAAATTTATTAAATATAATCTGAAAATTTAAAACCAAATTCTTTACAACCAAGAATAAAAGTTATTTTCTACTTTTTAGTCTACGCGAAAAACGTAGTTTTTTAAAAAGTTTTTTTTTATAAAGTATTTTATTTTCTACTTTTTAGTCTTATTCTAATGAAATAGAGAAATAAAGATTATAGGGGGTTTATAGGTTACAGGTGTGTTGAACTCCACTTCGTTGCACTTCGTTACGTTCAACTGTTTATAGATCACAGTAGGTTTATAGGTTACAGGTGTGTTGAACTTCACTTCGTTGCACTTCGTTACGTTCAACTGTTTATAGATTACAGTAGGTTTATAGGTTACAGGTGTGTTGAACTTCACTTCGTTGCACTTCGTTACGTTCAACTGTTTATAGATTACAGTAGGTTCATAGGTTACAGGTGTGTTGAACTCCACTTCGTTGCACTTCGTTACGTTCAACTGTTTATAGATTAGAGTAGGTTTATAGGTTACAGGTGTGTTGAACTTCACTTCGTTGCACTTCGTTACGTTCAACTGTTTATAGATCACAGTAGGTTTATAGGTTACAGGTGTGTTGAACTTCACTTCGTTGCACTTCGTTACGTTCAACTGTTTATAGATTACATTAGGTTTATAGGTTACAGGTGTGTTGAACTTCACTTCGCTGCACTTCGTTACGTTCAACTGTTTATAGATTACAGTAGGTTTATAGGTTACAGGTGTGTTGAACTTCACTTCGTTGCACTTCGTTACGTTCAACTGTTTATAAATTAGAGTAGGTTTATAGGTTACAGGTGTGTTGAACTTCACTTCGTTGCACTTCGTTACGTTCAACTGTTTATAGATCACAGTAGGTTTATAGGTTACAGGTGTGTTGAACTTCACTTCGTTGCACTTCGTTACGTTCAACTGTTTATAGATTACATTAGGTTTATAGGTTACAGGTGTGTTGAACTTCACTTCGTTGCACTTCGTTACGTTCAACTGTTTATAGATTACAGTAGGTTTATAGGTTACAGGTGTGTTGAACTTCACTTCGTTGCGTTCAACTGTTTATAAATTACCAGTTTTCAATGGGAAATTAGTAACGACTTTCAAAATTTTTCATTCGTTTTATAAAATTTAATTTTTTTAAAGCATTCATTAGTAAAGTACATTAAAAATCACTCGTAAAGATTTTGTGTTTATCTGTACCATTTCTACTTCATAACGTGTGGATTCTTAACATAAAGATGCAAATCACATATGTAACGTATTTATAACGGATTTTCAAATTTAAATTCAATGAATATCATTTATATGTTATGCAAAAATACGTCAAACCGTTAATAAAAAGAAAAGTCAATTTAATTAAGTTGGTGAAGTGTTATAAATAATGCAATACATTTAAAACAGCATAAATTTATGCTCAAACTATGTGTGCTAAATGCACATCGTATATTAATAGTTATTTTGCATTAATTCGTAACGGACTTGTGCTTAACGGTTTTTTTGAAAATTCAAATTTTAACTTACGAATATTCATGAAAAAATTACATGTCAATTTTTTTGTCTTACCAGAATATCTTTAGCTGCTCAAATTTATGGTATAATTAATAATTAGTAATATTAATTAAACTATAATGAATCATATAAATGACTTTAGAGCATCACAAGTATAATATTTAATACAAATCAAAATTTTTTATCATTGACATTGGATTTTTTCCCATATAAAAAAGTTTTACATTAATTGTACTATAATTAAGCATTTTTGTGTTTCCAAAGTGTTAAAATATTGTATTGTCACCGGGAATACATGTGCATTAAAAATTTGAGCTCGATTGGAGCAGTAGAAGTGGTCGAAAAATTGATCGCAAGATTTGAAATTTTTTGCAAACAAACAAACAAGAAAGCAAGTTAAGAAAAACGTAGTAAAAAACGTAGTAATAAAAAGTTCTCAAAATATACAACGAGGCAAGTTTTATACGACAATGGATTTGTTCCTTCCATACGATAATGGTGAAATGTAAAATATGCTGAAGCTAAAGTTTTATTAATTTTTCGTTCCTCATTCTTTCTTCTTCTTTTCTCACTCAACAATTCGCTGTGCTAACAAGAACTTTTCTCTCATTTCTTTTATTCAGTTTTACAACAACAAAAAAAAATGTGCTTTTTGAGGCGACTTCTGTTGGAATAATGGGCTGTTTAGCTTATTTTGTCAGCTTGACAAGCTTACGGCTTTATCTTGATTTTCTGCTTTGGAATTTCCTTTGAGTTTTCGCATTTTTGAATAGTATTTTATAAGATTCAAACGTTAAACATAACTAGAATTGCTATCTTGATCTAGCTTAACATTTGTCGAAGTACTCATATAATCAAAAGAGAGAACGAACTGAGTCAGCTTGCTATGCGTTTCATTAAAGAGTGCGAAATCAAAGAACCATTGAAACCAAAATTAGAGTTAGAATATGAACAATATAAGCTAAGTGATAAGCTTTCCAAGTCCACAAATCTAGAAATCTCATTTAGGATTCCAAATTAATGACACAGACAGCAAACAAATGCAGCTAATAGAGCTATCGATTTGAAGAAAACCTAAAATCTAATCCTTCAAAATATGCGTTCCAATCACTCTCTTAATTTTAAAATTTTCCATTTGTTGTTTTGAAAAGAACGGGAACAAAAAGAAATTCCTCAACAAAAGTGAAATTCCACACAGCATTTTTCCTCCTCCATTTTTCCGTCGATAGCATTAACAGACATCCATTCAAATTTTTTAAATAAAATTAAAAGAGGATAAAGAAAAAGCCAGTTAAAAGAGAAAGGAACACGAACGAAGGGCTCTATTGTGAGGAAAAAAAACTTTCGATTACCTTATTGTAAAAATTAATTAAAAATTAATCAAAAAAAACTTGTTCATTAAATTATGTATACCGAACACGTTGTTCTCGGTTCACACAAAAAAAAAATAAAATTGAAAGAGATTTTTTTTTTTGTAAAGGAATTAAACTGGTATCGTAAGAAGAGGGACTAGAAACAATTAAAGGAAGTTAGAATGACTGAAAATAATCAGATTCTTTTATTTTCTATATTTTCTATTGTTTCATCGAAATCAGCATAAGAATGGGAAGTAAAGAGTCAATAAAAGAGGGTACTTGAGTTGAAATTTGAAAGTGAATAAGAAGAGACAACGCATTTCCATATTTTTAGGACAATATCTGAAGTGGATAAGTTTGGAGAGTCTTGTTGTTTTTGCAGATGAGTTTTTTTTTAAATAATACAAAATCCAATGTTATGGGCTGTTGGGAAGGACTGATTCAGATTAAACTTTTAAATTAGGATTTTTGTTTATTAAAAAAAGTTTTTTGTAGGTCTTGTCTATATTTAGAGGACAGAAAATGATTTTGGTTTACTGTACAAGATCAATTACTGATCAGTGTTCTTTGAAATGAACAAAACTGGACACTGCCTAGAGGATCTTGTAAAAAATGACCATATCTAGATTCAAGTACCATAAAGTGATAGCCCAGCAATGTTAACAACAAGACCTCTCACGAACTCATAAATCAACTAATGAATCTCAATTCCAAAAGTTTCTTAAAACATTCTCAGAAATTGTTTCAATTTCTTCTAAAAACCAACAAATCATTCATTCAGACAAATTAGTGACGACTACTGCTTTTCCTGTTACAATAACACTAGAGAAAAAAGAAAATCTACAAAGTAAGGAACAATAAACTCTTACCCATTTGCCATTGTTGGCTTTCATCGCACCAAAAAGCAATTTGAGCTCCTTTACTGTTACACTATAGCTGGCAAGTACGCCAAGCATTTCAATTAATAAATCTGTCGAACGAGGAAAAAAAAGAAATAAAATTTTATTTTATGGCATAGACGTCGATTTTCGGGTGTATTTAATTAATTAATCAATTAATTCGAATAGGAAACATGCGGTCGTGAGGATTTATTTTTATATTTTTATATACCTGCAACTACCACATCTGCTTTATTCAAGCGTAATAACACGTGTTCAATTAAGCCGACTTCTGTACATGCTTGCAAGTTTCGTACACTTTTTCGTAGTATTGCGATGAATACACTCCATATTTCAGCCTATAAATTGGGCAATGGGTGGTAGAAAGGATAAAAGAAAAAGAAAATATTTTATTTTAATTATAATAGCATCTCTCTTTTCATTTTGATTGATTGAGACAACTAGCAACAACAACAACAACATGTAAAAAAATTAATTAAAGGATTTAAGAAAATTTTCAATTAGTAAAATTGACGAAAAATTTATCCAAAGTTTGTTGCTTGGGCTGCCTTTGTAGGCTCATCAATCAAAATAAATTATCTCAAATTTCTAAGAACAGATTATGCAATTTGTAAAGTTAATGAGTCTCTTTGTTGTATGAGCTTTCGAATATTTAATTGAGATTACACGTTTGTGTATGAAAGGGTATTAAGTATTAAGAATTTTGAGGTAATGATGAATAGAACACTCCGATTTTCTTGTTCTTTATAAGCTTATAGATTTGTTTGAATTGGTTTAAATTGTGAAGGCAATTTAATCTTTTTAAAGAACTACGACTGAAATCTATCATGTCGTCATGAGTTGGCATCTTTTTAGCTACCAATGAATCTATCCTATCATCTACAACTATCACTTATTTAACACTTTTTGTGGTAAAGATGCTATACTTGGTTCAAAACTACTCGATTTAAACTTCCAGAGCCTACAATTAATCCTAAATCTCCTTCATAAAAGCTAAATGATGGCATTTAAATTAAATAATAAGTCAAATTTAAAAAAAATGTTAAGCAGTCTCTTTGACATTTTAAATGTCATTTTTAATGTCCTTCTCTGGCATTAATGCAAGACAAGTGTAGGAGTTAAAATACTCCCACTTCAAAATAATCCTCTGCAAATTGTAATGTCCTTAAATTTAGTGCTCCACTATGGGGCAAAATGAAAAAAAAAGGGACTTTCACTTTGAAAAATGGACTTTTCCGATTTACACTTTTTGGGTGATTTTTTCTTGTAGAGGACATAAAAGTAGATAGAAATGCCAAATTTCAGGTCATTTGGTGCTGATTTCGCGATTCTAGAGCTGTTTGAAGTTGAAAACTAGTGAAAATTCTGGTTTTTTCATACCATGTTTGAACCGGGAAATATCTTAACTGGTTTAAGATATTGCAAAACGGTTTTCAGTTCCTATTAGTAGTATATAAGAGCTTTATTTTGACATATAACAAAGTTTAGGTTCTGAATGTTTTCGTGCCATTATGGTAGAACATATGTGAAAATTTCAGGAAAATTATCTTCAAACAAGCCGCAACTATCATAAATGAAGAGTTTCCAGGCAAGTAAAAACGCAGTTTTGTAGCCCCATATATCTAGTTTTCAAAACTGTATAAACTTTGAAAAAGTAAGCTAACGTAATTGAGTTATGTTGATTTTAGTAGGTCGTTGAGTATTTGGCCAAAAACTAATAATTCTTTTAAAAATACGAAAACATAGTTTTAAAAATAGTTTTTTGGTGTTTTCTTATGAAAAATAACAATTTAAATGATTTTGTGAAGAAAATTTTTCAAAAACTTCAAAATCTTTCGAGATATAGGGGGTATGTGCTCTCCATCGATTTGGCCATTTGTCACCCTACTTAAACCACTATAACTTTTTTTTGAAAAAATATTTTTTAATTCTGTTTTCGGATTATTGTAGCCTAATGTAATACCTATCCAACGATATATAATACTTGCTAGTTAACTTAGTCCTGGTTATTTATAGGGCTGTTGATTGTGACATACGCAGTTTTTGAAAAATTCCCAAAAATTGCATTTTCAAAAATACCACTTTTAAGCAATCTCGAGTATTTTTTGGACTTTTTTAAGAAATGTTAAGTCTGAAAAAAGCTATTATCATTAGAGTAATAAAAAAAATACTCTGATACGCAACTATAATAGGTAAAATTAATAAAGTTTAATTTTTAGTTTAATGAAATTTTGTTTATTTGTCAAGAAATTTAATTTACATTTTTTTATCATATTTAATGAAATTTATTTATTCATTCGTTGTTTGCTTCTTCAGAATATTCATGGTCTTGTCCTTCGGAATAATCATAGTTTTCTGCTTGGGAAAAGTCATAACCTTCTCCTTCTGGCTCAATCAATTCAATTTCTTCCTCATCTTTTTCCTCATTTTCTGTTTGTTGCTCAGGTGTTTCACCTTCTTCTTGGACATTTTTTCTCATTAACCTTTTATTTATTACATCCATATATTTTTTTATTATTACTGGATCAGAACTGTAGAGTCTTCTATGTATAACATCCGTAAAACTGTGTATTCTTGAAGTTTTTCTGGCACGTAGTTCTCTATCTTGTCTGAGATATTTGTTTTGTGACTCCCCGGCTTCTTCACTCATTCTTCCTAGAGGTAATGGTAAGGCTTCCATGTAGTGTTTTGCATGAGCAAGTGCTCTGTGAAGTGTTACTGGTATTTTGAACCAACTATATGTTGTCAAAAACATTCTGTATGTTTCTTTACAGTACCTATCAAATTCATCTAGATCATCAACTGGTTCTAAACTTCGAATTTGGTTTAGCACATAGCATATACGTTTAATTATTTCTTCATTAAGATATAGAGTTTTAGCTAGAAGCTCTGGATTTTCAAGAACTTTTCTTGCAACGTTTCCTGTATCTGATGATCCAGCTCCCCCTTGTCTTGGTTCGAGTACACGAACATTAAATGCATCCCACATTGCTTGCTTTATTCTAGCCTTTTCAACATCTAAAACAATCTGTTCCTCTTCAGTTATCTCCAGCCAGTGTTTTTGAACATATTGTTTATATGACAAATCATATAGAGTCGTGAGTACGTTCATTGATGTATGAAGTGGCTGAGTGTTGAAATACAAGTGTTCTTTAACAAATTTTCTGTGTGTTTTTTCGAATCTTCCATTATCAAGATTATTTATGTCACTCATCTCGTTTGGTCCAGATCTACAAAGCTGACATCTGCAATATCCTGATGTTTCTGTAAGGTCTGTGTAAACTTTTCCATCTAACATTGTGGGGTAGAATTTGTACGTAATTTCCAAAAGCATGTCTTCACATATGAATCTCTGTGGTTCAAGTTTTGATATTTGATTTTTTATATCTTCATATATCCTTCTAACATTTACTCTGGTTTCTTTGGCATGTTCAAGTTGTATTGGTCGTACTGAGTATACAGATTGACTGTTTTCGTTGTCCCATAAGCAGATATAATTTCCGTTTTCGTCTTCATGTCGTAGTTGCTGAACACTCATACTAACTGTCAATAGTGATTTGTCTTCTATAATTTCATTATTAGTCGTTTGATTCGGTTGTGTTCTATCTCGTTCTTGATTTCTTGAATTTGTTTTTCCTTGGTTATACTGTGACTGTCCTGTTGTTCCGTCCATCCCCCATGTGACGATCATTTCTGCATGAATAACTTTTGGAGTTGATTCTGAAGGTAATATTTTGATTTTGTCGTATATTTCTGAATTGTGTGCTTCAATAACTCTTTTTGTGGTGAGTTGTGTCAAATTTTTTAGTGGAATAACGGCTCTTGTATCGGTGACCGTTATGTCATCAGGATAGCATTGTTTCTCTAACCTCAACAATTTTTTAGCTGTCGGTAAAACGTTTTCGCATTCCAGTTTCAGGACTTGTCGAATATTGTTGTACTGATTTCGAGATAAATTGTTAAAGGCTTTTACACCTAGAGCTACATGTATATCTAGTTGTTTAGGTTTTGATGTAGTTTTTTCTGGAAGATCCTCTCCTTTTTGGCACGCCTTAATAAATTCTTTTAACATTTTAGCTCCTTCTACTTTTCCTTCTTCTTTAGAAAGGCGAAGTGCCAAGTGAAGAACTGATAACAATGATCCTTTTGCTTCTTTTAAACTGATATCTAATTCGTCCACTCTTCTACGTCGATGCTTATCGCTTGTTAGTTGTTCAAATGATTTCCTCTTGATGCCCTTGCTGGATGAAGGCTCTATGTCATGGACGATGTATTCAATCTCATCCATATCTTCATCTGTGTCAGTAACATTTTCTGCTTCATATATAGATTCTTCCTCAAAAAGAATCCCTCCACTAGATTCGCTGAAGTATCGTGAGTCAACTTCAAATTCCTCTTCATAGAAATCTGCATGATCTCTTAATGCATTATTCCAATTTGACTGATTACAAAACATTTTTGACTTTGACTTCAGCTTGTTTAATTTATTAATTAAACTTGGTTTCTGTGATTCCGCTAATTCTCTCCCATGAATTTCTTCTATTACTGCCAAACAGTACGTGTGCTGTGTTGCAAGATTTAACGTTTTGTCGCGAAGAATTTCACAGAGTGTTTTCTTCGTAAGTGTTGAATTTTGGTTCATTTTTGAAAGTGACTTGTTCAATGAAGTATATATATAAAATAGTTTCAAAACTGAGATTTTCACACCTGATAGTGACTACCAAGGGTACTTTACAAAGTTGTTAACTAGGGAAGTAAAAAGTTTCTAAATTTAATTTTTTGGCTTTATAATCTCATAAATGTCATAAATAAACATAAAAAAGTTCTAAAAAAATACTCGAGATTGCTTAAAAGTGGTATTTTTGAAAATGCAATTTTTGGGAATTTTTCAAAAACTGCGTATGTCACAATCAACAGCCCTATAAATAACCAGGACTAAGTTAACTAGCAAGTATTATATATCGTTGGATAGGTATTACATTAGGCTACAATAATCCGAAAACAGAATTAAAAAATATTTTTTCAAAAAAAAGTTATAGTGGTTTAAGTAGGGTGACAAATGGCCAAATCGATGGAGAGCACATACCCCCTATATCTCGAAAGATTTTGAAGTTTTTGAAAAATTTTCTTCACAAAATCATTTAAATTGTTATTTTTCATAAGAAAACACCAAAAAACTATTTTTAAAACTATGTTTTCGTATTTTTAAAAGAATTATTAGTTTTTGGCCAAATACTCAACGACCTACTAAAATCAACATAACTCAATTACGTTAGCTTACTTTTTCAAAGTTTATACAGTTTTGAAAACTAGATATATGGGGCTACAAAACTGCGTTTTTACTTGCCTGGAAACTCTTCATTTATGATAGTTGCGGCTTGTTTGAAGATAATTTTCCTGAAATTTTCACATATGTTCTACCATAATGGCACGAAAACATTCAGAACCTAAACTTTGTTATATGTCAAAATAAAGCTCTTATATACTACTAATAGGAACTGAAAACCGTTTTGCAATATCTTAAACCAGTTAAGATATTTCCCGGTTCAAACATGGTATGAAAAAACCAGAATTTTCACTAGTTTTCAACTTCAAACAGCTCTAGAATCGCGAAATCAGCACCAAATGACCTGAAATTTGGCATTTCTATCTACTTTTATGTCCTCTACAAGAAAAAATCACCCAAAAAGTGTAAATCGGAAAAGTCCATTTTTCAAAGTGAAAGTCCCTTTTTTTTTCATTTTGCCCCATAGTGTGCTCATTAATTAAATATTCAAAATGAACTTGCACATTCAAAACTCTAATAAAATGGCTATTAAAATTAGTCTGCAGATGAAGCTATCAAGCTTAAACTCAACCTCAATTTCATAGAAAAAAGACTCATTTTTGACAAATTAAAAATTAATTAAATAGATTGATAGACGTACTTGTAAATTGGGTGGACAATGATCTAAAAGCTCTAGCATATGTCTAATATTTTGTGCATCTTGTATCACGAAGTTTAATTCCATATCAAATTCACCACCGACAAGCTGTAAATAAGAAGAAAAATAATGATTTATATCAATTAGAATCATAATTAAGATCGTTTCAATAAATTAATTTGCTCGTAATTGTATGTGACCGGAATTTCTATAGATGCAATAACAACGTGCCAGTCTATAACTCTACACAAAAGAAGTAATGTGTAAGTAATTGTAAAAGAGACCCTTTTTCCCTCATAAAGTACACACATAGTAATGAAAATTGTTATCACAGGATATTTTAAGGAAATTGTTCAATATCGTAAATAACAATATAATTTCCCCTTTGGCGCGGACATACATTAATTTTTATATCTGGCATAAATGTATTAGAATTGTAGGTTGTTTGGCGGTTATGTTTGATTTTAAGACGCTTTTATGCTGAATTTCGGCTTTTAAATAATCAAATCAAATTTGAACGAATATTTCCTTTAACAGGACATCACCAAAGCCTGGTACTTTGCGCATAACCATAACTCAGGCTGGTTTTATTAAAAATGTTAATTCCACAATAACGTCCCAAGTCTCCCAAACTGACCCATCTACATCACATGATCCATCATAAAATCCAGCTAAAAAAATTCGAGAATCGAAATATTTGCGAGATGTGGATTCTCATAAAATTATATAAGGAATATAAAAGAAGTAAGGTACGTCAGCATAAACATTTTCAGCAAATTTTATGGTTATAGTCGAACGTGTATTGACGTGTTATGATTTTGCGATCAGAATATTGATGGAAATATAAAAATGTTGAGACACACATTTTTTACAGCATCAGATCCTCTACACAGTCATTACAAAGGCATAAATGGGAAGTAGCAATAAGAATGAAAAATATAACATTTCGAATTGAGACGATGGCAATAAAAGTGAAAAGGAAAAAAAAAGTCTATCGATTTTTGGTGGGTATAAAATTCTCGAATTTTATTTTATTTGACGAAGAGATAAGAGGAATTTAAAAAAACGAAAATCGGAAGCTGTTGTGTGTGCTTTATGCTATAAACAGAATCATAACAACAGCTACGTGAGCTTTACCCTCAATTTCTACCTTTCTGCGCGATTAAACTTGATCATTTTCTAATTTTCCTCAAAGTGACAATTTACTGTTCCAATATACTTCTCAGTATAGGTGTGGAAAGGTTTGCACAGGAAGCGTGTGTAAAATTTTTATTATTATTTATGAATCTAATAACAATTGTTAAGTGCGAACTCCATGCAAGCGTAAAGAATTGATTTCATCACGAGAATTTCTTTCGGAAATTACATTCACTTCCTTTAACTGTTTGTATGATGCATGAATATTTGATTCTTCCGATTTTATTCCCATTCACTTCACAACTACTTCTTCATTTTGACAGCGGCGTAGCTAGTGCACATCATTATTAAGAAGATGCTAGACAACTTCATCAGATTCCCTAGCTACATCACCGAAATTTCCAATAAAATAATTCTTAAAGCTTTTATTTTCTTCCATCTTTCCTCATCGTCATTAATCATTTTGGACATTAGCATGAGAGGGTGAAGTAGAAGAATAATGAAAATTAAAATGGAAAGGAAAAATGTATAAAAAGTTAATTAATGGTGTCGAATTTTTTATGCACCCTACCCGGAAAAATTGTCCAGCGTACATAATTTACATTAAACCATTTCAATCTTGCTTCTTAGATCCCTTCTTTCTCATGGCTTAATATTTCAGTTTGGATTTACAATTGTCTTGTGGAATGAATCGACTTTTATTTTTATTTTTGGATACTTCAAATACCGCGTTAAAAATTCATCGAAGGTCTGTAATTTAAGAAGATTTAAAAACTTTGTGAAGTCATAAAATATTGATGAAGTTCAGGTTGCTTGTATTTTGGTCGATACAGTTGCTGTTTTATATGGAAAGTCACAATTTATGTACGATTTTGTCTGATTTTAGAATTTGATTCGTAAAAGCACCATCATAGCTTCTCCATTATCAAATATAGATGAGTTCCAGTGTTGCACTGTAGAATTTTTGCTTGGATTTGACTTGGACAGTTTAATCCAAGAAATTCATATTTATATCGGAGGAAAAAAATTACATAGTAATCCCCTTCGTCCGAAATTAACGGTCATTTTTCAAAAAAGAACAATGAATTTCCTGGAATTTCTATTGTTCTTTTTTTGCTGACCCCTCCCCCCCCCCCCCCCCCCGTACGTCATAAGTGAACGGCCCCATAATATTTTGGTTAAAAATGTACATAATTAAAGCTCCCACAGGTAGCTGAGTCAACAACACTGCTAAATACTTTAATCCAAAACATCCATAAACATTTTATTATATCCAAGACTTTGAACTTTCATTACAAAATGAAAAAAAAAATCTAAATGGAATTTATCCACATTTCGAAAGAAAAATTTTTATGCTAAAATCTCCACACATAAAAGTGCTTCAATGTCTGCTTTCTTCTCGTTTATCTCTTTCCCTTTTTTTCATATTTCACCAATTGACCGCAAGCATTTGGTTTTTGGGTATTACAATTTATGTTATATAAGATATGGTTGTCTGTAATTCTAAATATTGAGCTCTGGAAAATTGTAAAATGAATGTAAATGTTGATATAAAATTTTATTTCCAGCAGTGCTACAAAATAAAGGAATCTCATTTAAAAAAGGAGATGGGAAAAAAGTTTACAGACCGAAAGAAATTGTCTAAATAATATTTACATAGAAGCATTTCAAATCTGGTATAAATCATGGATATGTTGCTTATTTTATGTAGATAAAATAAACATAAACAAGATCATTCAAATGATTGCAAAAAGTTTTCCAAACAACAAAAGATGGGAAAACAATTGAGCCAGACTTGCAATATGTTCTATGAGGAAATGATTCCATAATAAAGCTTTAATAAGATTATGTATTTTTGTGGTATGTACTCTCATTATAGTTTTTTGGATGAGAGACTTAGTTTTTCTTGAGAAGGTTGAAGGCCTTTGGAATTTTTTGTTGAATGGAAGTTTGTTTTTGAGATTTGAGAGTTTAATGAACCAATTTATCGATTATTATCGAGTAAAAATTGCTTTTAAATGTTATTCGTCAGTTAAATTAAGCAAATCATTATATCAAATTTTTGGAATAATGTAAACTTAAACTATTAAACTGCTTTGAACAAATCGTTACTGATATGTTTTTAATAGAGACACTCAAATTTTTCAAATCAAGAGTTTTTTAATTAATCTTTGAATACTTATGTTATATTAAAAATCTTGTTGTCATGAAACAAATTTCTAGAACAGTCAAAACCTCAAAAACATTTCAATTTCTAAAGCATTCTTACCTCAAATATTTAACATAACTATTTCTTATAGTTTAACAATTTAATTAAATTTTAATGTTTAACTTTCTTCCAAATGAATTGATAAAGCTGATTCAAGTTTTCATCGAGACAATTAAAGAAATTAAATGAAAAATTCAAAGAATTTCTTAATTTATCTTTTTAAAAATCTCAAAATTTCATGCGGAAAAGTAAATTAAGTAGAGTTACCTACAAAATTATCTATCAAACCCCATCCCATCTCCCAAATATCAATTTTCCAAATTAATCTTCTGTTCACTCATCCATGTAAATCAGATAAAATTTCAATACAAATAAAATTATATCAAAAAAACTTTTTTTTTCTTTAATTTCATCCCAAATTGAATTGACCATCATCATCATCATTTTCTTCTTTTGCTTTCGCTCTAAAATCGAATGAAAAAAAAAAGGAAAAGCAGATTGCGAATGCGATATCGTAATATTATAAATCATTTTATGTGAAGCGAAAAGGGAATTCCTTTAAAGACAAATTTTCCTTTAAATTAATTCCATTTCAATGAGAAATCGTTTATCATGATGACATTTTGTCAATAATAATCTGAAAAAGAGGATTCGTTTCTTGTTCTTTAAAAGTTTTTTTCTTCAATTTTGTTTAGGGGCCGTTCACTTATTACGTAACGCTTTTAGGGGGGAGGGGGGGTTTAAGATTTTGTTACGGTTCAAACAAAAGAAATTTTTTTTCATACAAATTTTGTTACGAGGGGGGGGGGGTGTAAAAGGAGTTTTTTTTTCGTTACGTAATAAGTGAACGGCGCCTTAGTAGAGCGCGTTTTTTGAGGGAAAAGATAAGTTTTTTTGATGGAAAAAGCAGCAATTTAACGATTTGTACATTAAATATGGAATCATTAATAATTTATTCTAAATCCATAAATATATGAAATATGTTTTTAAATTGTCTTTCATAAAAGATTCATTACGGGGATGCAAAGCAAATCTCACATCTTAAAAACTTCTCCAAAAAAATCCTTTCTCTCAAAATTCTCCATCCTTATCTGCTCATCATAAAGCTTTAACTAAATGTACGAGAAAATTTTATCGCCATAGTTACGCGATAAGAATACAAAGCTCTTTCAAATGAAGCATGCATGTGATCATCAAAAAAGATAAAATAAGTATTTTTTGTGCTTATTTTCCATTCCTCTTATCTCACTCAAATTCGCTGCTTTACCCCCACATTCATATACATACATGATGATTACGTATACATCTTTTTTTTTTTTATGTACCAAGCAGTTAAACATATAAATATGGTTGATCTGAAAAGTGTCTTAAAAAATGTTATGTATTAACAAAGGCACGAATTGCAAACATCCAACGTGTATGGATGAGAGAAAGTCGAAAGGAAAAAAATTCTGCTTACGCAGCTGTTGGTTGAGAAAAAGAAATAAGGAGATGAGAAAAAAATCTACTAAATCATCACGTTTTATTTTTAATCCATGAAGCTTTTCCTCATTTCTGTTTTCTCCTTTGTTTCCATTTCACATCTTTTTTTTGTGAATAAAAGTAACCAGATTTCAGACTTTACTTCCGCATTTTTAACGTTTCACTTTTCATTACTTTTGAAATTAATTTTTTTTTTGTGAGACTTTCCATTCCCGGAACTTCCTGTTGAAATTGACTTAAGGAACAGTTAGTTCACTTAAAGATTTATAAAGGTTGTGGAATTTAGGAATTAAAAATTGTTTTGATATTTTGTGAGATGTTGAGTTTTGTATAGGATCAATTTTCTTAAACAGTTCCTTCAGTTTGGTTTTACAAAAGTACTATCAGCGATGTAGCGCCAAAATCACTATATTCACAGATTCATGCATAAATGTCTCGAATTTTCAAATGTTTTCAACAAATTTTTTAAATTTTGACTATTAAATATTGCCATTTTTGATTCGATCAGCCAATTTCAAATGTTCGTCCAACATTTTTGATCTTTAATACAAAATCTTTAAAAACAACTTTAACTTAACCAAATCCCGGCCTAAATCCCCTCACAAGAAGAATTCATTTTAAAACTCATTATTTTCTATTAAAATTCCAACTCCGAATTCATCGATTGTTGAAAAATTCAATAGCATTTTTTGTAGCTCCCCATCCGCTCATGAATAACAATAGAATTCTCCTAAGATAAGCACAAAATTATCTTGTTCCTTTATTCACCCACTTCAAATTATTCCTTTTTTCTATTGTATATTTAATTTCATCTATTATTTGTAAAACATAATTGTTTTGAAGCCGTAATCATCCGCATAGAATAGATAAGTTAATTTTTTTTCTATGTTACCAACTCAAAAAACTTACCGAAAAGGCTTTCAAAAATACTAAACATTGAATAATTCCTTCCATTGTGTCTCCATTCAAGCAAAATGTTCCTTTTAAATGACGACCTTTTCTATCAAACACTGTCGATAATGATGCTTGAACAATCGCACGACGATGATTTAAAAAATGTGTTGATGTTGCTAGTGTATTTGATGTTGATGAAACTAACGATTTTACTTGTTTATCACATATCAGATTATCGAGTGACTCCATGCTGATTTTTTTTTATTTTTATTCTTTGACTCTAAAAGTTTTTCTTTTGTTCTTTTTTATTTTTATTTTTTTTTGGCAGCACTTAAATTCGTGTTCTATGAATTTTCATATCATGCATAAATGCATGCATTTTACAGATGCCCAGTAAGAATAGGAAGAGAATGAGAGATTTTTTTAAGCATTTTTCATCATCATGATCAAAGATCCTTAATAAATATGAAAGTCACCCTTTGACTATTGACACATATGCAGTTCTTTGTTCAATCTGGTTCAATCTAGTCAGCAAGCTTAACAAAAATTTATAATTTATTTTTTCAAGCAAAGCAAAGCTAGATTAATGAAGTAAATTTTCTAAAATGAAGAAATTTCTATTTAAATGATCAAATACTGTGAATTAGATGGTTTCTCACTGTAGATAAAAATCTTGAAAAAATCCACGAAAATGGCTCTTGATAATTTTTAATCTTGAATTAACAAAAAAAATCAAAAAATTGACAACATTCAGTTCCCACAGCAATTCCGTAAACAATTAATTTTCATCTAAAACAATTTACCGACATTTCGTTAAAAAGGAGTCAAAATACAGCAACAAAGTTATTTTAAATAAATAAATTATGATTAAAAGAGATAACAAAACATTGAAGAGCATTTAACTTTCACTACATAATTCATAGCGAGTGAAGAACTTTCTATAGAAGGAATCGGCACTTTAAATCATGTTTTCTGTGTACTTTCCTCGCAGAGGGATTGCTTTTTCTTGCCTAGACGACACGAGAAGCTAAAGAAGACAAAAAAATTTAAATATTTTCTCCATAAAAAATGAAATATGTTTGTAACGTCTTCTTATCGTCTTTCCTTTACATTACAGGAGGAAAACCTGAGCGAAGATAAAAAGGAAAAAGTCGTTTGGCGGTGGAGACGGAAATGAAGGAAATTTCTTTATGTTCAGCTATTGTAAGTTATAAACCTCTATTTCTTTGTTCTTATATCAATAATATGCTGGGCAATTTACATTCATAAAAAATTATTTAAGGCTCTCAAGTTGGAAATAATGCTCAATTTTATAGCTGCTTTAAACATTGACGTGAAATATTTTTGAAAATTCAATTAAATCCCTTTTTTAAAATTCACAGCTGCGATTAATTCAGAATTCTACAAAGTCTAAGAAGCTTTTCCGTTAACTGTATTTGTTCAAGAGCTTTGCAGCTTGTTTCCACCGAAACAAAAAAGAAATTTGATCTCATTTAAATTCCAAATCAACAAAAACGCTGTTGCCATAAAGATAAAGCAACAAAAAAAAAATTAAAAGCAAATAATTTTCAAAATGGAACAATCACGAGATTTAAAAATGTAAATACTCAATAATACAATCAATAGTCTCGTAATGCATTTATGGATTACAATTGCTATTAATTTTAATTGGGTTAATCTATTTTTTAAATTCGATGTTTTCAAGGGCATTTAAAATGTTTTATTATTGATTTTGCATGTTAAAATGTATGAAGTGAATTAATGGATGAAATATAATGTTTTTATAGGAAACTTGATTAAATTTGTATGATCCTGATTAAATTAATGGTCATGAAATGAAAGTTTCAAGAAATTTTGTATTTGCATGTCATTTCATCAACAGTCGACAGATTTAATCAAAAAATTGAAAGGAAATAATCATAAGCAACAAATATTTAAAGAAAACTTCAAGTTTCCAAACTTTAGATGCCTCAAACCTTACAAACAACTCATGTCTACTAAACAAGAAAATATTTTCTAGTATCAACAATTATTAAACCCATTTTTGCCAGAAAGGATTAAAATTTAAGATAACAATATAATAAAACCATTTGTGGTTTCAATTCAGAACAAAATACATCTAAACTCTATTCATAAATCTCCATTTTTGTGCCCTAGAAAAGGAAGGAAATTTTTTGATTTGAAAACAATACGAGAAAACTTTCCCAAATCCACAAAATCTAATCTTGAACTATTTTTCTCGAGATGAGAAGACGTCCCATGAGAAAACAGACAGGTATTTCTGAGAAAATAAAATCTTTTTCCATAATTTAAATCCTATTTTCTCTCGTTTACATAATCTACACCAGCATGTGCTTCACTTTCCACATATTGTTCAAAGATGCTTATTTATCAGGGTAAAAAAGGTGAACTTTCATATTTATTTATTTTCCTTCTTACATTCTTATGTGTTTTTGTTCTCTTTTTATATTTTCTTTTTCTTCAACTACTACTTTTTGTGAAGTATTCCATAGAATCGACGTATATAAAATATATATTTATGTATGTAATTTAATTTAATTTTATGTATATATATATTTTTGTATTTATATAGCAGTAATTTATCAGTATTTATACAAATTCACGTATTTTATGTAAATATTGAATATGTAATTTCTCTAAGTTTGCAGTCCGAAAAAGGAAGTAATTTTTTTATTCACCAGAACAACGAAAAAAAAAATTGTGATTTTAATCCAACAATACACAGACACTAATGAACTTTCTATGTTCTTTGTTTTCTTTTTTTACTAAGTTTTTTTTGGCACTGTTTTTATATTTATTTAATATCAATTCCACTAATGTCTTTAAAACATTACAAAAAGTGTGGATTCCACAATTATTTTTTTGATTTTCGGGGCTATCTAAAGATGGCTTATCTTTAAGTCATACTAAACTAATGTCGTTCTTAATTTAACTTTTAATGTTTATTTACAGTCTCATTTCATCGATAATAAAAATATCATGATTTTATGAGGCAGCTGATATGAAGAATATCTTCTTTTTGTTTGTATCCAAATTCACAGACGTATTACAGCTAATATCTTCGTTGTTATCAGTTGTTGTCTCAGCTAAGTCCGATGATGATACATCAAAGTGCTCACGACAATTTCTATTGATTCGATTATCGTTGTATGAATTTTCGTTATAATTACTATCTTTAAATGATGTCTCAGATATCTCAATATCACTCTTGAATTTTTGAAATTTATTGTTGCTATTACCGTCGATATAATTAAATAAAAAACTTGAATCGTCACGACTCAATGACATTAATGATGTTGATAATGAGAATTTGTTTATTGGCTTTCGTTGCCTTTTCACTTTTCTATTTAAACTATTTCGTAAAATTATACGAGTTTCATCATCAAATTCGTCTTCATTTACAGTACTATAGCAACTGCATGGTCCAGACTTTAAGTTGTCTACAATCTCATCTTCATCATCATTTGATGAACGTATCTTTGGTCGACTCTCAATTGTTTCTATTCTATTATCATCCTCCTTCTCACTACCCGATTGCTCGTTATCGTTATCGTTCTCGTTATCTTTTGAATCGTTGTTGCTGCTATTATTTAGACTATTTAGGTTATGAGCCTGAGGTTGATATGGTAATGGATGTTCGTTGTAATGAAAACAACCTTGAAATACACCCAATAACTCATACGCTCCAAAACACAATCCAAGAACAATCAATAATTCCATTATTTTTCATTTATCACTTTATCATTTTTTCAATTATTCGATTTTTTATCTGCATTGTTCTAGCTCTATAATAAACACTCGTTCGAATTACTATTTTTATTTATCAGATTTTTATGAATTGAGAGAGATTTTTATTTTTATCGGTAAACAGAAATAAATTACAGATTCTATTATTAAGCATCCTTTACGATACTTGAGCAATAATATCGATATTATCAATTAATCATTTCATTTCATTGCATCTCAATGTACACCGTCACTTGCAATTTTCATCTCGACTATCCTTTTCAATGAGTAGATTTACTTTCTTCATTCAATAATTTATTTTCTTCTTCCTTTTAAGAGTTTTGTTATTGTGAATATTTCTTATTGTTGTGTTTTCAATTGATTTAATTTATTTTTCATTTATAATGTGCATTAATATAATTTATAAATAATAATTGGATTGTATTTTTAAATTCATACTTGCAGAAACTACGTAGGATCTTCAAAACTGTGATTCTTTTTGTAAAAGCTTAGTTTTTAAATTTAATTGAAATAAGAAAAACTAAAGAGAGGGTTCGAGAATTTAGTCTGATGCCTAAACACTCAGTCTTAATCGTACTGACTGGCAGATTCGTCATTACATGTACTCATCAGGTAACACTCTGTTCTGCTCAGACTCTTTCTTGAAATTGAAAATTCTTGTTTTTGACAGCTTTAGAGCACACTTCATTGGCTTCTACTAGTTCATCTTTGTACAAGTTTTTTTTTTTATAATAACGTTTTAGTAATCATTGCGAATGAAGTCCAATAAAGCTCCTTAAAAGTAATTAAGCATTTTGAATTATAAGTCTGACAAGTGAATAGAATCATTATTTACAGCACGAGAATCAAAAATAAATACTGTTAATTCCATAAGACAAATATATACTCCCAGTCGAAACTTGAGCTTAGAATAAAAGCTCTCTAATCCTCATAGCTTAATGTTGAAATAAATTTACTGTACAACGAGAATTTATGTGATAAACTTTGAACCTTTAATTTAACACACAAAAACAGTAATTGAGTTGCTCACTTTATGCCAAGCTTTTTGCTTTGGACACTTTCATGGTGAGCGCAGCCAATTGTAATGCCTGTTTTGTAATGGAATTCATTTGAAATAGCTTTGCATTTACAATGTATTTTCTCAGTAAATCTAAAAATAAATGCTCCCTTTGCTGCCTGGGGAAAGTCATCCAGCAAGAACCACTGTGCATATTAGTGATAATTAATATGTAGAATTTTGCCATTAAATTTTCGAAATTTAAAAGCAAGTTCCATGTAAATAGCTGAATTTCCACAGAAAACTCATGATTCAGTGAATTTTAGTTCGAATGCTCAAAAAATTGTATGCGCAAAAGTGAAAATTTACAAACATAAAAAAGCTCAATTAGTGGCGTACTACCAAGAATTAAATCAAATCATTTGATTGAATGCTCACAAAAAGCTATAAAATTTCATAATTTGAATTGTTTAACCAAAAGTAGGTCAATTGCTGTGTTTATCAAAAATTATCTAGTGATGTAACAGACATTTTTGACAGATACGTGAGGAAACAGAAATGTCGACTTAATGAACAACTTAATGTTCTAAAAATTTGAACTTGAAAAGTAAACTTTCCTAGATATGCTTAACAATTCTCGTTTAAATTTCAACAGAAATATAAAAAAAAAAGTTTCATTAAAAATTTCCGTCTCGATAAATCAACAAATTTGCAAATGGAAATTAAAGGGCAACAGAAAAAACTTTTTTACTACTTTTTAATTAAAACTCGTCCTCAATTCTCTAATCCAACATTTGCTGCTCATTTCAGACATTCAATTACCTCGATTTATTCGCTTTGACACATAAAATGAATGAGTATAGAACAGAATGGAAGAACAAAAGCAGAATGCGAACAGTCGCATAGCTATTCAAGCGAACGAGTAATTTCAAAATGAGGGTAGGAAGGAATTCCTCTTTAATCAGTTTCATAATAAAAAAAATTGTACAATAAGCAACAAAAAAAGGCAGAATGAAATGAGAATCCTGTCTGAGCTGTTTAAATTATCTGAAAATATCACATTTTTCATTGCACGGTTGACTGGACATTAATCTCTTTATATACATATAAATATATATGCTTAATACGGGCTGGCATGAAAAGCTTTTCGTTTTCTATTTGTTAAACGGTAAATGTCTAAAATTATATACACATTTTGATTCAGTTCTTTTATCAGGAAGAAAGCGTTTAGGGAGAGCAGCCTGATACTCCTTGTTTCTCTCAAATATATATTTCAAGCTTGATTCACTATTGCAACCCTGACAAGGATCAACTTTAAATATTAAAAATCTCAAAATGAGATTAGATTCAAAATCAACATTAATATCCCTTTTTTTATTGTTATAATGCTCTGTTGAGATTTTTTTTCCATTCCTTTTGCTATTTGTTCCTTTTTTTGTCCATTCAATTTAATTAATGCAAAGCTTACAAAGCCACTTATTTATAGTTTCACATTCAAGCAGAGCTTTTAATATTTTATGGTTTTCCTTCCACATATTTTATTATACTCATGCTTTGTAGACAATGACAATCTACATCTATTTGGGAACTTAATTCCGAAAATAATAAAAATTGATTTTCGTATGTTACATCTTAATGCTGATTTTAATGGGGGTTTTTGTTGGATTGGAAAGAAATTGCCATGTCTTGGTACTAATGTGATGATTGTTAAGTTAGTAAAAATGTTTTTTTTTTTTGTGGGATTTTAGGGCGACATGAAATTAACGATGTTTTGAGGGAATTAATGTTTGAATGATTTTAAGATTCAGAACTAAAAATAAGTGATACTTTGGTGGTATGAGGTGTTTTAGGTTAGAAAATATGAAATGTGTCAGCTTGCCTTCTAGTTCTTAGCTACAATTTCAAGAGGCCAAAAAACCATTCCAAGATTGTTCCTAAAGAATTCATTTCTCGTTCTATGTGACAGAAATATGCCAAATTTCATCCCACCTGTATTTGTTTATTTAACCTCAATATATGCTCTAATTTCTGAGAAAGTTGCATGCAAAATAGAACCGATAATGAATGGTATAATTAAGGCATCATTAAGCTCAATTTTCATCACATATGATCCATCAAAGTATAGTTTATATCGATATCTGGGTTATAATAAATTATCAATCTATACATACGTCAATTTTAACATGGAAAGAATTTATTTTAATGATTGATTTTCTATTAATAAATCGAAACGATTCAAATTCATTCAAAATAAAATGTTCTATTTAAGTTTACGTATGTGTATGTTTATAGATCGCTTAACACATTCCATTGTTCAATTCACATGTTCTGCTCCATCATATCATCTATTGTTCTGTATGTGATAATTATTTGCGCATAAAATGTGCAAAAAAATGTGAATTATGTGGTTTTATGAATGAAGTTTTTATGTCAGTTTACGTGAGACACATTTTTTTGTTTTAAAAAAAATTGAAGGAGAAAAAAAATCACATTGTACAGAATTTAAAGGCTGTTTTGCTTCTTTTGTTATATTTACAATTTAAAATTCGCTTGAAGGACTTGAATGAAATATGCAAACAAAATAACAATCATCAGCATTTTTGCCTTTCATTATCTTTCTTTTCTCACATTTTTTTCCACATCTATCATCTTTTATCCCACCAGATAATAGTTATGAAAATGTAAGAGAGAAAGAAAATGGAGGGTTGGTATGTCAGGTTGTACACAATGTATTGTTGTATTTAAGTCATTCGACAATGCTTGTAGCAATGAAAAAAAAGGAGATATATAAAATGTACACAATGACATTCATCCAGTACGATTGCTAAAAGCTTTTTATTCTTTACCAAAATTTTCATATGTATGAGGCGATTTTATGTAATTTTGAGAGAGTTGTTAAATTTTGGAACTGTTTGGGTTCTTCTTGTAGATGATTGATGGGAAAAGGGTGAACATTTTTATGAAAAGGCTTTATGAAATGCTTTAAAAGGTTCAGTATTTATAGAAGAAATTGGTTAAAACTAAAGCTGAAGCAGAAAATTAAATTGAAATGGAAACCAAGACAAATTTTTTTGCAACTTTTAAAAATATGTTGCTCTACATGCAGGATTAAATCTTTAAAATGCAATCTTGAATTATTTTGTAAAATATTAATGACGCCTTGTTTTCAAAGTGATAATTAGCAAGCGGTTACAAGCGATAGAGCCAGTTTTATGCTACATCAAATGTATGACAATATGAACTCTTAAACCTGAAAATAAAACCTTTTGTCAAAAAAAAATGTCCCTGGAACCATCATTCATAAACTCTCCCAACAAAAATACATCCCAATGTCTAACAACTCACCATTTCTAGTATAAATAATATTCTCCGAATAAAAAATACAAAGAAGCATTCACGGATGTGGGATAACAACAATAGTAAAATAACAATGAAAAGGGTTAGACATGATTTCTCTGTATGGCTTAAAAACATGAACAAAAAGACTGAACACAGTAGAAAGAAGAGCGAATAAAGATTTAACTTTTTTCTCATGATTTGAATGAAATATCTACGTTCGCAATTTTCCTCTTCATTTTCCCTCCGTCAACATCCATTTGTGGATATAAATGATGTGATAAAATGAATGAAAAATGTGCAATGATTGTCAATGAAGCACCGATTTGTGTCGCGGTTTTAAATCACTAAGAAAATGAAGAGAAAATTCAATTAACTTCTCAGCCACGAGTATATTCTTGGGATGCTACCTTGACTGTAGCATTTTTGGTTATTTTCTCATTAGCAGACGTGCTGCTAAGATACGTGAATGGATGAGAAGAGAGATAACATCAACAGTAATTTTGAAGTACACTCAGATGTAAAATGTACAAAACTCATGTCACTCAACTTGTTCAATGCAGACGCTTCACAAAAAAAAAGTTTTACATTCTCCAACTAAATTCAATTAATTATTGGTCAACTTTTTTTCGTGCTTCTA